TAGGACAGATAGAGCAAAGCCTTTTTCTTACAAATGAGAGGTATTGTGCTTTAGAGGCACACAGCTGTCAATGTTCAGTGTTAGGTGCCTTATTAAGACCTACAGCTGAGAAATACAGGATGCTTACATGGGTGAAGGAAATTGGACTGAATACATCTGAAAATTAGTTTGCTGGCTCTGCCTGTGCAGGGTGGCTCTGCTCATTCGTCACATGCAGAGGTGTAGAACAAAACTGGTTCTCCTGAGCACAATGGTATTTGTCACAATTCATCATCATCATACAGCTATCCAATGTGAATTTAAAGTTTTACTTAAGTTTTCACATGTGCTTCACAGAAGCATACCCACCAGCTCTGTTAGAGGCAGTGGAAAGTGAGACACAGATGGATGTGATGTATGTAGTGTATCCTCCCACCAGGTTACACTAGGTGCTGTTTCTGGGAAAAGACCTGATTATTTAAAACTGTAACATGAAAAGATGCCTCTTACAGATTGCTGGTGGTGCTATGGCTCCATAGCTTTCCTGCTTTCACAGGGGTTATATATACAGTAAGCTGAATGTTGTTTTATCTTGGAGGTGAGTCTACACTAGTGACTTGTGAATGAATCTTTACAGATTGTTGTCTGCAGCAGCACACCTTGTAAAGATACACTTGTTAAACTAAGTAATAAAAAACATACTAATAAGAAGAGGTAAATAACTGTATTATAAGATTTAATATGTGTCTATAATTTCTTCTTACTCTGCTCATAAGCATGTCTCATGAGCAAGGAAGAGAAGCTGCCATGTTACGGTGGTGAGGAGGAAAGCAGATCAGGTGTCCAGAAGCAGGCAGGTGGATGTTTGAACTTGCCCTGGATCACTGCTCGATTCTAGCCAAGTTCTGCTAACAGGTGGCTTGCTGAGTGGTGTGCCAAGGTGACATTCATCCAGGGAACTGCCTGGATGACAAGCTGCTTCAGGCTGAAGAAGAGGGTCTTTGCTTTGATAAGGAAATTGCCAAAACTCATGTCTCATTAGTGTTTCCTAAGGTTCTTTGAAAGTGAACAACAGTTTAATTAAAGGCTGATGTAAACACATTTCTGCACACTTTCCCTGCAGCATTTTATCACATTAGAATTGATCAAAATTGTTGCCTTGGGCTGTCTTAAACAGCTATACATCTGGAGCACCATTTGTGCAAGCTGCTGATGAACAGGTTACATGCGCTACGCTTCACAGCAGCTCTTCTGTCTTGCTATGTAGGCAGATGATCTAACTCTTTTTATTTGCATAAACCCTTTTTTCTTTTATGTGATGCTTTAAAATGTATATCATGCCACCTGTTTGGGTGCATGCATACTGTATCTTCACAGTAATATGAGAATACAGATACAGGCAAGAGTGATCTGGAGCAGCACTGTGAATTTAAAGAAAAAACAAAACCTTTTCCCACATTTGAAGAAAATTGTCAGCAGGAGAGGACACAGTGTCTGATCAACCCTGACCTTCTGATAATTTCGTCTAAGTGCTTTTGGCATCTTTCTGCTTTTCATCTGTACTTAGCATTTTTTCCAGAAGATTAAAAATAAATCAAACTTAAAGCAGTTTTATTTTCATTCTCAAAGTAATAAGAATCGGAATCTCATTCCTGAAACTTTGACACAGACTTGAGAGCAAATGGCCTGTTTTTGTGACCACTATTTGTCACTCATTACGTAATTATCAGTATACAACTAAGCTCTATGTAGCCTACTAGACTATTTCTCCTGATGTGGAAAAAGTAATATGTTTTAAAATGAGAAAAATGTGTGCTTTCTATTATATAGAAACTACTATTAAAATCGTATGAGGTCTCACTGCCACTTTAACACATTCTGCTTTATTTAAAGGCACTGTTTCTTGTGAGCAAAATTATAGGCAGTGAAAAAGTGCGTTGCATTTGTTTCCTTTTTTCCACTTTTTGGTTTTGTAACTGGTAGCTCTCCAAAGAAATGTAACTTGTGTGTTTTTCTGTTAACGCTCTAAGCCTAGTCTCTTGGTCAAGAAAGATACGGCTGCAGCCTTTCTTCCTAACATATACAAATAGTTATTGTTCTGTCTCCCGTCGGCTGCATCTGTCATTTAGCAGTGACAGGAGCATGAATGCTCTGTTATGATGGCCACGCACACATGGGGAGAGGCGCGGAGGCTGTGGGGAGATGGGGCTATCTGAATTACTTCTCAATGCAAAGTGTGTTGTTTTAACAAAGAATCTGCTGCCTGTACTTCAGCCATTATTCTTTGCAGTTGCCTATGTTATGAATAACAAGACTTCTGAAAGTATTTAATTTTAGTGTGCTGCATAATATATATTAAAGTTGCTGTTTAGGTGGGTTACAAGTATTTTATGGCAGGGATGAATTTTCTATTCCTGACTACCAGTTGCATTTGCCTTGAAAGTCTTCTATACGAGAAGCAAATTGCATTTGCTTCATAATTTATGCTGTCCATTTCCTACGCACTAACTACAATTTTTACTTCCATAAAGTAGGAGCAGGAATAAGTTCCGCATTTTTAAAGCAAATGTGGGGGTTATCATACTCACCAAACTCCTTTTGAGTAGATTCTTTTCAAATTAGTGATGCCACTGGTGGGTTAATGGATAATCTGATTACATTGCTCTTCATATAGCATACTTCTTTCAAGCAACTAAAATATTTTGAAAAACAAAACAACTTTTGCTTATTTAATGAAGTAAGAGTCACCAAACAAATTAAATCCCTGTTGCATTCCAAAAATCAGAGCTGCTGATGCCTGCAGACCTTCAGGAGGTAGCAGCTCTTTCTTTCATGAGTTCTTTTTGTTGAATATGAGCTTTACATAAGGAAAAGATTTCCCTTAGGGAGACTTAAGCACAGTATTTCTAGCTTGAAGTAAAGTTAAACTGTACATTCTCTCTTTTGTCATTGCCTATATGTGGTAGGGTCAACAAGCTATTTGGTCACTAATTAAGTTCTGTGACAACTGCTGAAGACCACAGTGCTGTAGTGGGAGGCTGTGTCCACAAGCTGTTAGACATACTTATCTTTTTCTTTCTTTTTTTTTCTTCAGCTGTAACATTGAAGTGTTTCTGCAGAAACAGAGACTGTACATGCACAGAACCACAGTACAAAGACAATGGTTAATTTTGTCCCAGGCTTTTATAAAACCTTATATCTGTTGTGGAGGTGTGAGAGTTTTCTTGCTTTGATTGAACTAGGACCTTACATGAAGAAGCTAAGGCTGTCAATTAAGAAGAAAATTAGACATACTGAAATATTTGAAAGTCATTCCAGAATCAATATGCCATCCTATCATTGTTTGTGCAAAAATCAATTAAAAACCCCAGTCTTACAATTTAAAAAAATTTGTCTTAGCTTGGTAGAATGCATTCAACAAAACTAACCATTTGGCAGCTTTTTCTTTGCTACTCGCAGATAAATTCAAAGAAACAAAATATTGCTCTCTTTTCTTTCTCAACAATTTATTTACCAAATTTTTCTGAGAGAGCTAGAGGTGGCTCTGTCAGCATTAAGTGTTTTTGATAACAATATAAAATTGCAACATGTCAGAATAATAAAAAGCATGCACTAACCTTTGCTACATCTGTTAAAGCTGAAATAGTACTGAATTGCTGTATTGTAAAGCAATTCCTTGCTCTTGCTTAATGTTCTGATGAATAAAAGCCTTTCTCAGCAGCCTCCTTGAAAAAGTGAACCTTGATTCTGGAAAATCAGCAGACTTATAGTGAGGACCAGAGGGGAGCAGGGCAGTTGCAGGGCTATGACGGAGGGACACTGGCAGACTCTGTTTTGGGTCTGGTGCCTGTGCCTGTGCAGGGCTTGATAACAGGATGGGGCAGAGCAGGCAAGTGGTCTCTTGATTTGATTGTTACTGCTACAAGTATGGCTTTATGATGAAAACCCACTCTTAATGTCCATCCAGTTCAGAAAGCACTGCTCCAATTTGGTCTCAGTAAGGTGCTTACATTTTGCAGGCCTGTCTTTGCCTTCCAAGATGATTGTATGTCCACTCAGAAAAGCACAATATAGTGTTCTAATATTAAAAGCGTCAAAATCACTTCAAGGGCTGACATAGTCTGTGTAGGAAAGTCAGCTGCAACATGGCCCCAGTCCAGTAAAGTACTTAAGAAATTACCTTTGCTTTAAACATGAATTTGGTCATGTTGATTTGAAATGGAACCCACTTAGGATATTGATGGGTATCCCATAAGATATTATACTTTGAAATCATTTGGTGCAATGTCCAACAGATGTTACGTAATTAGTTTAAACTTTCAGGAATAATCCAGAACATTTGCTTTATGCAATATCAGTAAACCTGTATGGTAGGAATCATACATTTGTCGCTACTGGTGTGTTATCTTTACACAATGAACTCTAAAGAGATTTATTTTTTTGATTGGGAAACTAGGAGGAACAGTAGGAATACCCTAGTTGAGACATGGGAAAAGATGTAATAGAGAAGCTGAAGTAGCCTTTATTCTTAGGGAAGTTACATAGTTTCATTATGGTTTTGGGAAGGGCAAGGGATGGGTTTGAAATAACAAAGTAATAAATACCATAAACCAGCATGTGTATGGCAGTTACCCTACACACCTGAATGTAGGTGTTCCATTAAAAAAATGCAATAAAGATTATGTGGCTGTTGAAGGAGCAGATGATTTGGTGATGTTCTGGGGAGCTGAGAAGTGCCTAGGGAGGTTCTGAAGACATGTGTTTCTTTACTGTTTGGCTTATCTGGAATGAATGGAATGTAGTTTCTGTTTTGCAGGATGAAGACCAGTTATGGGATTATTATTCATTCTCAAGTTTGAAAGCAATAGTTTAAAATTAGTTTATTGGTCATACGGGAGCTGGTTTACCAAATAATATTTATGCAAGAACAGTGAAAAAAAAAAAAATCTTTGGTTTACAAAATGATGCATTCTGAGACAGGCTTCTAAGCTAACGTCACTATTCCATTTTTTCTGTTGCAGATATGTCTTCTCCTACAATGAAGAAACCTGAAAAGCCTTTGTTTAGTCCTACTTCTCCCCAGGATTCTTCACCGAGACTGAGCACTTTTCCCCAACATCACCATCCAGGAATTCCAGGAGTTGCACACAGTGGTGAGGGTTATGGAGGAGAAAGAAATACCTCCCTATTTTTTTGGTCTGTTATGCTTTCTTACAATCAGATTGTGATGCATTTTTGCAGACTTTCTTAGAGATTTAGTTCTGCTTACAATACTGATAAGAGTAGAGGTGGAAGAAGTCGGAATATACTTGCAAGAGTTCTCATTAAGCTCAGTTCAGGTAGTCTGACTGCTTCAAGTCACTGGAGAGGATTTAGGATTAACCAGTGAATAAAATGAGCTGTAGACTGCATGAAGAAGCTGACAGAGGAAAAATCCTCCCTGTGTTTTCTCTTTCTGCCTACATCCTTTTTTATTAATGCTGCTATGACTGTTGTATTTAAATACCAGAATAGGTAGGATTTAATGCAGAAAGAGAAGTCACAACCATGCTCACTATGTGACACAAGGAAATACCAGTGCTTCTTCTGAATGCTCTGTCTAAAGAAGCACAGTCCTGGTAAATATTTTCCAACATCTGTTTTCTGAACTCATAGAATCATAGAATCGTTAGGGTTGGAAAGGAGCTTAAGATCATCTAGTTCCAGCCCTCCTGCCGTGGGCAGGGACACTTTATGCTAAATCATATCACCCAAGGCCTCATCCCACCTGGCCTTGAACACTGCCAAGGATGGAGCATTCACAATTTCCCTGGGCAACCTATTCCAGTGCCTCACCACCCTAACAGGAAAGAATTTCCTTCTTATATCCAACCTAAACTTCCCCTGTTTAAGTTTTAACCCGTTACCCCTTGTCCTGTCACTACAGTCCCTAATGAAGAGTCCCTCTCCAGCATCCCTATAGGCCCCCTTCAGATACTGGAAGGCTGCTATGAGGTCTCCACGCAGCCTTCTCTTCTCCAGGCTGAACAGCCCCAACTTCCTCAGCCTGTCTTCACACGGGAGGTGCTCCAGTCCTTGTGGCCCTTCTCTGGACTTGTTCCAACAGTTCCATGTCCTTTATACGTTGAGGATGCCAGAAGTGCACACAATACTCCAAGTGAGGTCTCACAAGAGCAGAGTAGAGGGGCAGGATCACCTCCTTCGACCTGCTGGTCACGCTCCTTTTGATGCAGCCCAGGATACGGTTGGCTTTCTGGGTTGCGAGTGCACACTGAAGTCGGCCCATGTTCATTTTCTCATCAACCAACACCCCCAAGTCTTTCTCCTCAGGGCTGCTCTGAATCTCTTCTCTGCCCAAGCTGTAGCTGTGCCTGGGATTGCTCCGACCCAGGTGTAGGACCTTGCACTTGGCATGGTTAAACTTCATGAGGTTGGCATCAGCCCACCTCACAAGCGTGTCGAGGTCCCTCTGGATGGCATTCCTTCTCTCCAGTGTATCAACCAAACCACACAGCTTGGTGTCATCGCCAAATTTGCTGAGGGCACACTCAATCCCACTGTCCATGTCACTGACAAAGATGTTGAACAAGACCGGTCCCAACACCGATCCCTGAGGGACACCACTTGTTACTGGTCTCCAGCTGGACACTGAGCCATTGTTCATAACTCTTTGTGTGCGGCCATCCAGCCAGTTCTTTATCCACTGAGTGTTCTATCCATCAAATTGATGTCTCTCCAATTTAGAGGCAAGGATGTCGTGTGGGACAGTGTTGAAAGCTTTACACAAGTCCAGGTAGATGACATCAACTGCTGTGCCCCTGTCCATCAGTTCTGTAGCCTCATCATAGAAGGCCACCAAATTGGTCAGGCAGGATTTCCCCTTAGTGAAGCCATGCTGGCTGTCACCAAGCACCTTGTTGATTTTCATGTGCCTTAGCATGCCATCCAGGAGAATCTGCTCCAAGATTTTGCCAGGCACGGAGGTGAGACTGACTGGTCTGTAATTCCCCGGGTCATCCATTTTCCCCTTCTTGAAAATGGGGGTTATATTTCCCTTTTTTCCAGTTGTCGGGAACTTCACCTGACTGCCATGATTTCTCAAATATGATGGACAGTTGCTTGGCAACTTCATTTGCCAGCTCCTTCAGGACCCACGGATGGATCTCATCAGGTCCCATGGACTTGTGCATGTTCAGATTTTTAAGATGGTCTCGAACCAGTTCCTCTCCTACAGTGGGTGCAAGGTCTTCATTCTCACAGTCCCTGCATCTGCCTTTCAAGACTTGGGTGGTTTGGTCAGAGCTTTTGCCAGTGAAGACCGAGGCAAAGAAGTCATTCAGAACCTCAGCCTTCTCCAAATCCAGGGTAGCCACTTCTTCCGACAGCTTCCTGAGGGGGCCTACATTCTCCCTAGTCTGTTTTTTATTTGCTATGTACCTGTAGAATCCCTTCCTGTTTTCTTTAATACCTCTAGCCAAGTTTAATTCTAACTGAGCCTTAGCTTTTCTAACCTGGTCCCTAGCTTCTCGGACAACATCCTTGTACTCTTCCCATGCCACCTGTCCTTGCTTCCACTTACTATAAGCCTCTTTTTTCAATTGAATTTTCCTCAGGAGCTCCTTATCCATCCAAGGAGGTCCCTGGCCCTCCTGCTGCACTTCCTTCTGGTTGGGATGCAACACTCCTGAGCTTGCAGCAGGTGATCCTTGAATATCAACCAACAGTTTTGGGCCCCTCTGCCCTCTAGGGCTGTATCACAGAATCACTGAATCACAGCATCCTAAGGGTTGGAAGAGACCTCAAAAGATCATCTAGTTCAACCCTCCTGCAAGAGCAGGGTAACCTAGAGTACATCACACAGAAACTTGTCCAGGCGGGCCTTGAATATCTCCAACGTAGGAGGCTCCACAACCCCCCTGGGCAACCTGTTCCAGTGCTCTGTCACTCTCACAGTAAAGAAATTTTTCCTGATGTTCACATGGAACCTCCTATGCTCCAGTTTACACGCACTGCCCCTTGTCCTATCACTGGACATCACTGAAAAAAACCTAGCTCCATCATCCTGACACTCACCCTTTACGTATTTGTAAACATTGATGAGGTCACCCCTCAGTCTCCTCTTCTCCAAGCTAAAGAGTCCCAGCTCCCTCAGCCTCTCCTCATAAGGGAGATGTTCCATTCCCTTAATTATCTTTGTAGCTCTGCGCTGGACTCTCTCCAGCAGGTCCCTGTCCTTCTTGAACTGTGAGGCCCAGAACTGGACACAATATTCCAGATGCGGCCTCACCAAGGCAGAGTAGAGGGGGAGGAGAACCTCTCTTGACCTACTAACCACACCCTTTCTAATGCACCCTAGGATGCCATTGGCCTTCTTGGCCACAAGGGCACATTGCTGGCTCATGGTCATCCTCCTATCCACCAGGACCCCCAGGTCCCTTTCCCCTTCACTACTGTCCAGCAGGTCAGCCCCAACCTGTACTGGTACATGGGGTTGTTCTTCCCCAGATGCAAGACTCTACATTTGCCCTTGTTGAATTTTATCAAGTTCCTCTCCGCCCAACTCTCCAGCCTGTCCAGGTCTCGCTGAACGGCAACACAGCCCTCTGGTGTGTCAGCCACTCCTCCCAGTTTAGTATCATCAGCAGACTTGCTGATGGTACATTCAGTTCCCTTATCCAGGTGGTTGATGAAAATATTAAACAGCACTGGTCCCAGCACCGACCCCTGAGGGACTCCACTAGTCACAGACCTCCAGCTAGATCCTGCCCCATTGACCACAACTCTCTGCCTTCTTCCTTCCAACCAGTTCTTGATCCACCTCACTACCTGATCATCAAGCCCACACTTCCTTAGCTTATCTATGAGGATGCTGTGGGAGACAGTATCAAATGCCTTACTGAAATCAAGAAAAACCACATCTACCGCTCTGCCATCATCCATCCACCTAGTTACTTGCTCATAGAAGGCTATAAGGTTGGTCAAACATGACTTCCGCTTGGTAAAGCCATGTTGGCTGCTCTTAATGACCGCCTCATCCTTGATATGTCTAGAGACATATATCCCATGTATCCCATGGAACCTTCCAAAGCAGGTTCCTGAAGAGGCCAAAGTCTGCTCTTTTGAAGTCTAGGGTAGTGAGGTTGCTGCACGCTCTTCTTACTGTCCTGAGGATCTCAAATTCGAGCATCTCATGATCGCTGCATCCAAGGCTGCCCTGGAGCGTCACATTTCCAACGAGCCCTTCCCTGTTGGTGAGCACGAGGTCAAGCATGGCACCTCTCCTTGTCGGCTCCATAGTAAACTCCATAGTAAATCCATAGTAAAACTTCAGTTAAAGTGTGAAGGAGACACTTGAAATGTGATGGAATGCGTGTTATCATGCGGATTTGTCAGGAATGACAAGAAAATTCCAGCATCATGGTCTGTTTAATTTTAGAGGTAAGAGTGATCCTGAGTTTTCAGATGAGACCACGCTCCTCAAAAGTCTCCCCTCAGCAGCTCATCCCATCTCCATATAAACTGAATATAAAGGGAATAATTTCTTGATTAAAGATGGGTGACTAGAGGAGTAAGACTGATTTAAGAACTTCTTTACACAGTTCCTTTGTATGGACTATTTTCCCCTTAACATCTGCTTAGTTTGAGCCTGCAATCATTCTGGTCTCTGTAAGGTGTCCACTGTTAGCAAATACTCAAGCACATCAGAGATGATGGGTGAAATGGAAGGGATAGATTTCTGTTCACTTACGTTTGCTTTGCAGAGCTCCCACATGTCAGAGCAGTAACTAATGTTTTATGATTAAAATGAACTGGTGGGGCTGTGATTAAAATGTGCTGGTCACAAAAGAAGTTTCTGTAATTATTTTTGGCCCTATCCTTATGAGTAGGTCTTTATATTTGATTTAGTGTATCATTTTTAGATATATGTGTTTGAGTGGTGGTCATAACCTAATTTATAGATGAGATATTTACTTGCTAGAAAACCTGATTTCTACCATGTAGCCTCTTCTGTTATGTCCGTGAGTAATGATTTTGAGATTTGCAGGGTTTTGATTACTGGGTACAGCAATTTTGGAACATTCTTATTGTTGATTTTTCTTGGGAAAACTATGATTTGGTCCCAGCTCAAAAATAGCAAGTCATTTGAAAATTAAACTGAGAAAAAAAATCAAACCAAAACAAACCCAAAGGTATGAAAGGTGGTACAGAAGAGCAGTTTTGATGTGCTCGTGCTGTTGTGCAGTGTGACAGAAGAACACTCTCCACTTCCAGGTGGGCGACTGGGCAGCAGCAGGACATGCTGCATATATCTTTCATTGAGAAAACATTGCTGGTGGTTTAGACATTACATATAGTCTGTAGGTAGAGAAATGTGTGTTTGTAGGGGCTGGGAAGAAAGAGAACGATAAAAAAAAGTATAGGGTAGAAACTTTTTTGTCAGTGTTATTTTTATTGGATGGATTGGTTTCCCAGGCCCTGAAGTTTAATATTCATTAGGATTTTCAACAAAGGTCAGCTAATATTGCTGGTATTATTGTTGAGTAGTTATTACACTGTCCCCATAAGAGGCAGAAAGAGCCCAATGAAGTGAGGAATCACTAACTGTTTCTTAGGACTTGGTGACTTTTCTCTCCTCTGTTGGAGTGCTGTGGATAAAATGTAGGTTTTACTTACTGAGTAAAATATTTTTGTTTGTTTGTGCTGTAGATGGGAAAAATGTATAATTGAAATATCTTTTGTGCTGGAGAATGATTACCAAAGAAAAAAATGAAAATATTTGATGGAATAACCCACAAAATTGAACCAAGAAACACTATTTATGAATTTTAAAAACAGTAGCGTTTTGCATTGCCTGGGATGATGTAAGGAAGGGACATGTAAGTTTTTCTGCAAAGATGCCATGAAGCACAAATGTGGTGAACTGATTTATAACTGACTTTTTATTTTTCTTGCTGTAACACAGAGGTGAAGAATTTTAGAAGAAACAAGATGCGAAGTAATTTTAATTTTATTTTATCTTCTCCAGTCATCTCAACTAGAACTCCACCTCCACCTTCACCATTGCCATTTCCAGCACAAGCTATTCTCCCTCCTGCCCCATCTAGCTACTTCTCTCATCCAACGATCAGATACCCTCCCCACCTGAATCCTCAGGATACTCTGAAGAATTATGTACCTTCTTACGACCCGTCCAGCCCGCAGACTAGCCAGGTACTGTAAAATGATGTGAACCCTCCAAAAGAAATCCTATGAGGAATGTATGTCTTCCAGGGCATCTAGGCCAGTGTCTCACTAGTTCTGGTCTCAGAGCAAGCTGGGGTCTGGCATATAAGCCATCCAGCAACTTCTTGTTCAGCATGGTTGAATAAAGGTGCATATCCACTCAGTGTTCCTCTGGCAGAACAGTCTTGTTGTGTCGGAAAATTACTTGTGCTGAATGATCCAGCAGCACTAACTGGGCAAGTCCTAGTCCCTCACTCATCTTGCAGGCTGGGCACCTCTGTGGCCCTGCATGGCTGCCAGAGACAAAGCTTCTACTGCAGAACAGAGCAAGGAGTGTGCTGATACACACATGCATACACATGCACATGCACGGGCATGCAGGTACATACATAGACTGACAGTGAAGATAAACTCTGGCAAGGTAATGCTTGCCCTGTTTTGTAGGCACCTGACATTTCTTTGCACAGATCCGAAGACAATACTGTACAGCACAGACCCACAAAATTGTTTTTACTTGCTTTTATAAAGAACATGCAGTAATGGGCTGCTGCATCAATCCAGACTTGTGTCTTATATAGGAAATTAACATGGTTTTCACCAGCAAAGTAGCTTGTGAAGGACTGTCTGTAAAACTGCTTTCCATGACAGCATCAGCACATAGCATTAGCATGTGATCTGCGCTGTAGGATAAACTGCAGTTAAGACTTGGTCTGTCAATATTTGGAATATTTCCAGATGTAATCTTTGCTGCTTAGGCTGTTATTTATTTTTGATGCCTTGTCCAAAAGGCTTTTGTGGAGCCCTGTAGCTTGTGCTTTAGCATGTTTTTTGAAATGGTCAGATTGTTGCATTCTGAAGAGTTATCTTCCTTTGGAAGGACTGCCTTATCAGGGGTAAGACATAGGGTTGCTGTGACAGTATTTTGTTTTGTGCTTTCATTTATTTTGTTTTTCACCAATGATGACTGTCCTTTCAGCATGTGTTTTGGGCAAAACAGCAATAAAACTTGAGACTGAATCAAACTTTCTATGTTGAATAACAGGTACAGCTCCTCTGAGATGTCCAAAAGGTCACTGTGGTTAGTGTCCCCATGGGCCGTAGCTCTTGTCCAGCTACATGACTATTTGCATATTAAAAAAAAAAAAAAGAAAAAGAAAAGGCATGTCCGTAAAATCAAAATTTACTTTGAAGGGAGAAATCCCAACTGTGTGTTTTTTGTTGGTTGTAATATTAATGCAAATTAAACCAAAAAGTGAAAATGGAGTATGTTAGCTTTAGAATACAAATTGCTATCTGTGCATGGATTGAAAGTCTTTCAGTCCCATATAGCATTTTTTCTGAGACTCAGCTGGGAATGTTGCATGCAGGACCTGATTTTAATTTGTGTAAAATTTCCATGAATAACAAAGTCTAATTAAGACATCCATTAAAAGTCCTTAACGGTAATTCAGTGCGGAAAATCTTAGAGTTCTGTTGGATTTTTTTTTTTTTTTAAGCTGATGTCTTAATTAGGCACTATTAAGGGAAAAATTATGCAAATTAAAATCAGGCCCTTACTGTTATGCATTTCTTTAATTATTCAGTGCTTGTTTTACTTAGATTTTGATTTCTTATATATATTAAAAGAGCAGATTAGGTGATAATCTGTCTGGATTGTTCTGTGTTCTGCTTTGGATCATCACTGAAAAAATACAACATCTAATTGAAGTATCTGACTGTCTTTCAGACTGTTGACAAATGTGCAGTCTTGTGATTTTAAGATTGGGGAGTATATTCGTTGAGCAGGAGAAATGCTTTCAACTCTTTGCCTACCAAGAGTCTTACTCTCTTCCCTTATCTGCAGTTGAAATATTAATCTTTAGCCCTGAAACAATAAAAATTTACTTCATTGATTTTTTTCAGCAAACTGAAAACACTTCCTATATTTGCGTTGTGGCACCATGGGGAATAACAGTCTGAACTGGCCTCAATTTCCTCCTTTCATCACCTTTCATAACCTTTATATTAGGGTAGTGTTTTTCATTTCATTTGATGTTTGATTTAGTTCCTGAGAAGAGGGGATGGGGTTAAAAAACATGAAGTATGGGATTCCAGGCATCTGCATCAGCTATTCTCTGCAATTTATTATAGAATCATAGAATCATAATCATCAATCACTATTATTATTGGAATCTCTTTTAAATTTAACTCTTTAAAGTTCACCTCTGAGATATGCTGTACCTTAGAGGAGTTGCATGCCTGGTCAAAAGATCTCTAAGTAGAACAATTAAAAGGATGGGTGTACAAAAAGGAAACCAGCAAGAGTAATTTTTTGCTTAAGAAAAAAGCAGCCGTCTGTGAAGTTTCAGTGACAAAAGGGAATTGTTCTGATACAATAGCATGCTTTGAGACAAACCGGTTTTTCTTTTCTAAATAAAAAATGAATTTTTATTCAAACAAATTTAATTGTTATAAAATGCAAAACTGCATCTGTAGGAATACCACATGAAATTTAATTATATTTTCCTCACCTCAAAACATACTCATTTGGATTTCAAAAGGGGAACTATGATGATAGTTTTAATTTCAGCTTTAGAAATAGAAAGGATGTATACCATGACAGCATTTACCTAAAATGAACTGTTCCCCAGCATCTTTTGGTAATACGCTAATTTAGATTGTTACGACAAGCAACTGAGATGCCATGTACTCCCAGAAGCAATTTTGAGATTAATTACATTACTGCTGCACTGATTATACTGAAACAGTCATGGTATTCAATGGAATACTTTAAGTAAAATTAGTTTAAAGATAGAGCTCCCATAGGTTTACACAGTGGGAAGCAGTGGGCAATTTTCTTGACATAATGTTAAATACTCCAAATTATGTGTGATGAACAGTCAGGAAGTTCAAACAGGCCCTTTGGCTGCAGTGAAAAATGATCCAAAATGGATGATCCTAAAAAAAAGAGAGCCGTGGTTGTCTGTTTCATGCATCAATCTGGATAATAAGTAAACAAATGTACTGAACAGAAGTGGACCTTGGTAAATATAGAGCTGGACTTGCCTCCACGTGGTGGTTTGAAAAGGTCCCAAGGTTTTCAAAACCGCTGTACTTTCCATGATTTAGGTAATTCCGCTGAGTCCTTTTTATTACACTTGAAGACTTTTCTTCTTAGCGAGGCATGTATGTGACTGGATGTGATTGAGTGTGTATGTACCTGTATTATGATAGCGTGCTGGTCTCCACAGTTTGACTGATAGCTGTTACTCATGGAATCATAGAATGGTTAGAACTGGAATCAACTCTGTCTCCCCACTGCCATGGGCAGGGACACCTTCCAGTAGACCAGGATGCTCAAAGCCCCATCCTGGCCTTGAACACTGTCAGGGATGGGGCAGCCACAACTTCTCTGGTAAACCTGTTCCAGTGCCTCACTACCATCACAATGAAGAATTTCTTCCTAATATCAAATGCAAATCTACCCTGTTTCAGCTTAAAGCCATTACCCCTTGTCCTGTTACTACATGCCCTTGTAAAAAGTTCTTCTCTGGATTACACTTATTAGATACTACAGTCCAAGCGAACCATTGTCCACCCATTGACAAAAATTCCTGGAGCTCTTAAAATTTTGTTCCAATGTGAGCTATTGGCCACTTTATTTTTTTAATGGTTTTATCTTTGTCTGAAGACAGAAATATCTGAACGGCTTGAGAAGAGCTGCTTCTGGAAGCTGGTGAGGCCACTTATTTTTCTTTCATAGTTGATTGGGGCATTCAGATTTTTGTTCAATAAAAGATAAGCACACTCTTTAAGAATATGAGGCAGATGCTTTGTCATTCTTCAGTACAGTAGCTGCAGTCATTTGGCAACAAGGAGGGAATCTTCTGAGTCTCTTTGGGCTGGTCAAAGGGTTTCCTGCTGTTTCCTGGGAGAATACTAGCAGAATAAGCCAACACAAGTGATATGTATACGTGTGGTTCCTTTGGCATAGCTAGCTTCTTTCGTTGTTGACATTTAATAATTTCAACTTCTTGGACAAGTCTTTCCTTGTGAAGTTAAGAAATTATTGAAGATTAAATATGGCAATGTGCTGGTTTTAATTGTAATTGGGAGGTAGGGAGGGAACACTGGGTTAATTCTATTTACTGACAAGACATCTGAAGACTTAAATGCAGTTAAAAATGATTACTTTTTTATTTAGTTTGCTCATTTTAGTTTATTAAATGCACAGTTATAAGTCTCCAGAGTGCACAAAATACCATTTAACCCAAAGATATCTTCTGAAAATTTATCTACAAAAAGATTCTCTTTTCCGTGCTTGCGTAACATGGATTTACCCTGTTGTTAAGGCAAATACACGAGGAAAGCTGGGTATTTCCTTGTGCTCTACCTGTTGACAAATAATAAATATTTTGTGAGCTCACAGGTAAAATTGTGATTCAGGATGCAGGGCTCTTTGCCTAGGATGTCTTATGATATCTGATATCGGTTGCTGAAGCTCTGCAGTTGCTCTTAGTTCCAGCAGCATTACATCAAGAGGAAAATGCTTTCCTAAATGGCTGAGACTGAGAGCTTTATCAGTTAAAGTCAACACCTTGATTTCGTACAGAAGTGATGTTGTCAGCCAAGGACTGGCAACAACATGTTCCTTCTGAAGCTAATTCTGCATGTAGACAGGTAGCTGCGTGTCACACCACCTGAAGCTCTTGTGTGGCATCTCCCAGTGAGGTCTGTGTAAGATGTGCCGTAGCAATGAGTTACTCAGGTTGCAAGTGTATGGAAACTAATTATATTCGTCTTTATGAAAAGTGATAAGTGCCACTATGAAAAAGCTTTTCTGTTGCTACCATACAGTTCAATAGCAAAAAGGAAATCTGCATAGCTTTGTTTCTTGTTAAACAAATGTTTTATGGAACTCACCAGGTTCAAACACAGGAACTGCTGTACAGTACCTTCTACAGTCTCACTGGCAGTAGTAATGCCCTTCTTCTATGCTTAGCAGTCTCAAAGACACTGTGTTCTCTTAAGCAGGTAGGTAATAACTTGAGGATGTATCTTCTGCATATTTGATGAAACTACCTCCTGTACCACTGAGCTGTCTGCAGTGGGAGACTGACATGGCTATTGTATATTCACAGGTGATATAGAATTAGTGTGCCCTAGGCAAAAGCTCTACTGAGGTAAAAGATTTGGTTTGCATTGTATAGCAAAAAAAAAAAAGAAAAAAAAAAAGGGGGGGGGGTGGAGGGAGGGGAGAGCTAGAAAAAGGGAAGATATTTCCAGTTTCTTTTACTTGTAGATATTTTGAAACATCCATCATCTTCCGTGGGTGTAACAAAGCACAGTGCCATGGACTCAACGATGAAATTTATCAGCTATGATTTCCAGGTTCATTGATATAGCTAGTAGACAACTGTTAAAACAAGGTATTTGGTGTGTGAGCAGGGAACCAAACTGCGGAACTGTATCTTCTACCACTTCATCGACAAAATTAATTCTATCAATGGTCACAAAACAACACTGCCGTAGGTTTTTGCGGTGATGTTTTTCACCATGGTACCTGAACTCTGCCATTACAAGGGACTGTAACTGTGTAGAAGAAATAGGTGACAGAGTATTTCCAAGCACACTGAATCCATTTTAACTAAATCACACTCACTGATTGATCACCTGGCTGTAATACGGGAACGTCCTTGGGAAACAGAGTTCCTATTGAAAAACCCATGTTTTGAGATGCAAATATATTATTCTCTGAGTATAGTGGTTAGCTGGAATAATTAAATACTTATTAAGCCCTGAAACTTCTTTCTGAAGCACCTAACACAGTATCCTACGTAGCTCTACCTAGAAAATGCACAGGATTAAGATGATTTCCACCTTTGTTGTTTATTTTTTGAAGATGCTTTGTATTTGAGAGCCCAAGGAAAATTTGAATTATTTTATTTAGAATTTGGAATTATAATAAAAATATTTTGTAAAAAAAAGAAATACCGTGTAAATTTGAACCTGTTTAATCATTTAAGCAACTTAATAGTTTGTTAGATATTTAATATGCATGTCCAATTTCTGTTATGCTTGGATATCTCATCTGTAGATGTTAGTGCTGCCATTTCAATGTGACATCAGAAAGATTTTGTTAATACTGGATGTAGTGAGCTGTATGAAAAATCAATCTCCTAAAATGTAACTAAAGACCTAAGGTGTAAAGGTGCTGTTATTTGGCAAATATATAAACGGAAGTCTGAGAGGAGGTGATTGATTACTGATTACAAGTAATATTAGTAAACAGTAAATATCAGTAAATATTAGTAAAATAAACAGTAAATATTAGTAAAATATTAGTATTACAAGTAATATTAGTAAAATCCCAGCAGGAAAAATGAGTACAGTGAATCCAGATTTTAAGACGGTACATATATATATATCTATTTTCTGTTCAGACTTCAGATCTGATGATTAACTGAAAGTGTGCATAGTGCACACAAACAGATATTAACAGTCTGACACTCTTAGGTTATGCTACAGCTATGACAGATAATACAACTCATCTGTGGCTTTGAACACATGAATGGATTAATTTGTGACAATTCAAGATGGTGTGAATTAGAAAGCTGAAAAATGTAATACAGATCTGAAAATCAAATTAGCTTCCAATCCAACAATAGAAAAATGTACACCTGCATAAATTGGGCTAAATTTGCCAGACCTTCATTGTGTTTGCTTCTTTCCCTCTCCTATTTTCAAATGCACAGCTTGTTTATCTAACACAGCTGCCTCCATGCAATTTGCTTGAAGTTTATGCCTCAGGCATCGTCTCCCTGGGAATGCATCACACAGACATATTGATGCCCTAGTTGATGGTAACAGTTGATTTTTCACCTGTAATGCATTTGTCATTAAGAATCTCTTCTGGAAAAACTGGAACTAGAACCTAAAACTTGTTTTAAATAAGGATAAAATTAATTTGTGTTAAATGATGTGCTATAAATATTTGCAATTGTAATTCAAGTGGATACTCTCCAAATAGATATGTAGTTTCCATGCTAAAATATCTTCTGATATAACCGAAAAAGTTAAAAATGAGAAGAGGCCACAGAAGTTATTTCTAGCAGCCAGTTTTCAATAAGATTACGAATTGACAACTCCAGAGGTCTATTCCTGACCAGAAGTTTTCCATCTTTGCTGAAAGGCAGCTAGAATTGCAGAAGAAGAATCATGTATGTAGAAGCCCTAGTAGTGACATGCTCACCTTCAACTGAGATTAGTTAAAAATTTAAATACAGGAAACTTTTAGTATGGGGTAGAAGTTAGGTTCTTAGTCATGGTGCAACAAGCTCTGTCTTGTATGTACTTATCCCTTCTTGTGTTTGCCAAACAATAACACCCAAACAGTTATTACAATGTAGTTTTGATGTTGCTGCAAAATTACAAATCAAATGTTTTATTACAGATGTGAAAACAGAGTTAAAGTACTTGAGAAAGGAAAAAAATAGATGTTAGATAGTACAAAAATAAAAACAAAATAAATCATAAAGCGCAGTCAGAAGATACTTGAAGAAATGTGACAGTATGCAATAAAATTTTTTAAAGGCCTCTAAGTTTTAAAGTATCTTGGCTTATTTTTATAGGAAATTTACTTCTCGTATTTCTTAGAGATTTTCTGAATTTATGTTAGCTAAAATTTTCATTTTATTCTAATGCAGGTCAAGTCAGATTTTTGATTGCCAAGGTACCTGGTTTTAGAGGATTGCAGGTCATTAAAATAGATCCCACAAAATAAAATTCCCTAAACTACTGCTAAAGTAGATCTCAATGGACTTACTGTCACATACTTTATATGAGTGTTTGCTGTAGTATAGAGATGTAATTTGTATTCTTAAGGAAAGAATTAAATTAGTAATTACTGAGTGAGTCTCCTGCTTATGACCCATTCATTGCTCATGTAAGCATGCAAGCAGATGCTCAGTAAACTCTTAGGCCACATTATTTTCTAGAAATTGTTGTGTATATATTCTGTGACATCATTTTCATTTCAAGTACACATAATAAGGGAGCTCTATTGAACAGTGAAGTTTTAGCTAGTTTATAAAACTTAATGTAGCATGCCAGTTGGGGAAGTCATGATATTTGCAAATGTATTGTCGTTCCTTTGAATCCATGCTGCTTTCTTATTTTGAAGCTACTTTGACAGCTGACCTTATTCCCATTACTAAATGCCTAGTATTAACTTCTCAGTTTATGCATCTAGGAACATAAATGAAAAAGTGGTAAATACCATTCAGTTTCTGTATTTGCAAGATCTTGGGGAATTCTGTCTCTCCTCTCCCCAGCCCTGCTCCCACCTAGTGAAACATATAGTTGTGTTTAGGGGGTGACTTTTCTTCATTTAGTGGAGTATTTTGTGAGCCACTTCTCATTAGTATACATTTTTACTGTTATTTTTCGTTGAAATTCTTGTGGTTTTAGTGAGGGAAATAGTCTGCTAACTGCTCAATGTTCCTATAATATAAAATTGGTCTCCATTTGCACTTATGTTTTCTAGTGTTTTCTTCTAGCTTAGTTTTAGATGTCCTAAAGAACAGCACTCTCCCGTGGGGGCATTTGAAAAGTCTAGTAGATCATGCTGCCAGGAAGTTTCTCCAGCTATTAATTTTAAATTTCCTCCTTCTCTATTTTATTCCAATACCCAGAGTTTATACTTCCTGTACTTTCCAAATAATTCCTTCCTCTTCTGTGTGTTTATATTCTGCACATACCTGCAGTAATTGTCTTGGACCAGTTGTTAGTTCATTACCATAGACATGCTTACCTCTTTTAACCTTTCCTTGTATTGTTTGAATAACGCCCTTTATCAGTCCATTTCTTTAGTCTGAGTTATCTCAAATTTGACAAGATCCTTCTGATAATAAGATTACCAGTATTTTTTACTTTGCAGGGCTGTACTTTAAAGTACCTATGAGTCACAGAACACACAAGCAGTTTAAGACAAAAGTTACCAGCCACAGTTGAAAAAAAATTTTACTGCTTGCTAATTTTTACTGCAAGTTAATTATCGTTGGAGTATTTACAGTCAGGCAGAATGTTTAAGGCATGTTTAAGCATTGGATAAACATACATATTTACTTGTCAACATTGCCAAATTCAGATATGCCTATATTCAGAAGGTAGAATGATGACCTGTATCATCAGGTCATATGCAGATTGCTTCTTGTATTTATGAAAGAGTTCTCTTTGTAATGCTCTTGACTTGCAGAGTTCCTATTATTAAATACTTCTGTGTTTTAGGTAGGTGGCTTTTGGCCAGCTGTTGTGACATGTGCATTATAGTAACTTGTATCCTAACCCTCATCCCCAGTCCTAAATGTGAATTATTAGTTAGCCTTCCAGTATGCATAATCTCTGTGGACAACTGTGGTCAAGGCTTGGTTATGCTCCAAGCCAGAGTAGTATGGCATGTGAAAACAGAAGTTTTGCATCATTCATTTGCTCTTAATACTTCATACATTAGGGTTGTGCCTACTCAGTTTAATCTTGCTATCGTGGGATTTACTGTGGTTCACTTCACAGCCACTGCATAAACAGCAAATATATTTTAAAACAATCTGATGCATGCTGCATCCAGAAAGAAAGTTTACCAAAAAGTACTGCTATTTAAAAGCATGTGCTACCTATCTGAGGAGGGATCTGCCTGCTGAAAATACCACATAGAAATTTGTAGATTTTTTAGAATGGGGCATTCCAGCAAGCAGGTATTATAGTGATGGGCATTCTGGAAAACCCTAAGATAGGTGGGTAGGTTCCTTAAATGCAATGTGTATATTTCACAAGGCATTCTTTTGATTTTGTTTTGTAGCCTAACAGCAGTGGTCAAGTAGTAGGGAAAGTGCCTGGCCATTTTACTCCAGTTTTGGCACCCTCTCCCCATCACAGTGCGGTGCGACCTGTGACCCTGACCATGACAGATACTAAACCCATCACTACATCCACTGAAGGTGAGGCATCTTCACCTACAGCAACCAGTAAGTATTTCTTTAGGAAACAAAATATGTCCATCGAAGATTCGATATGATTTCAAATTGAGGCCAGAAAAAGGCGTCTTTTCCTACTATTTGACCAAGTGGATGCTCATCATTTTACATGGAGAGCAAACATGGTATGACTGGAAGCTTTTCCTCCCCAAATTTCAACCATCATGTTACATGAACCAAAGTTTGTGACATGACAATCAGAAAGAAAGGGAAAAGCCTGCATATTTGCCCACTATTCAAGAGAAAGAAAACGTGGTTGTTCATCTAAGGTGGACATTGTTAAGACATTGAGAAGCACACCCAGACAGCAAGGTTTTACAGTGACCTGCAGACAGAATTCCAAACAGAGATTGGATGATTTGCTCCTCAATGAGCTTTCCTACAGAAATCAAGCCTTGTTACAACACTTACTGGATCCGAGCTATGACAATTGCATCTTGATATAGGTTGTGTCATTTTTAGCAAAAAAACAACTGATGTGGCAAAAGAAAATTTTAATTCCTTGTCATTGCAACAATGGATGGCAGAGCCACTGTTGTCTCTTCCCTTCTTCCCAACTTTCACATTTAAAGTTCTTAATTACTACTCAAGGGCCATATTTTTATCCTGTCATCTTCAATGGAATTGCAGTTTTGGAAATAAGAGCACAGGTGTTATTATGTATAGGGTAATTTCTTCCACAAACTAGTGCTCAGTGATGCACTACTTTAACTGCTTTCTGCGTTTGTGCTCTGTGTCATTGAACTTTTATTTGAGTTTGAGATGGCCAGTGTTGCCCATATTGATCAGGGTGGTGAAGATTTCTAGGAACCACTTACAAACATACACTTTGGAAGGAAACTTGCCAGTCTTTGAAGATACTAAACTCTTTAGGGTCCATTACATTAAAATTACTTGCTTTAGGTCTGTGTAGTACTTGAGCTGTGAATCCAGTCCCTAAATTTTGGTCTGTTGTTAATGGAGACCATAAACTATATGTTTCTTAAGTGTTCTGATACTTTTAAGTCTTTTCATTAGAATGTGAAGCAGAGATAGACTCAAATGCATAGGAGTGGTTGAGATGTAAAGGAAGAAAATTGGTTATGCCTTTATTATAAAAGGATAGTAACTTTTGGACAAACTATTGTTTAAGTATAAACAAATAATTATGCAGATAGATTCATGGAAGCATTTTAGCTGTTCTTTCAGTACATCGGAGGTTCTGGTAAAAGGTGGTAGAGTATATCTATATCCTCCCTAGTGGTCTGTGGTACAGTTCTTGTGCCTTTTAAGAATTTTTAGCAGCAAACAGGAAGCTATCACTCTAAACTTTTGGTCCAGAACAGAAAACGGAGAAAAGTGAGTTAATGTATAGCTTCAAGTATTCATGGTTTCATTCTGCTTCCTGTTTGATGTGATTGTCCCTGGCCTAAATAGCTGTCTCAAATGAGGTTGGGATTTCCAGTACAAATGTCAAAAAGAACAAATACAATGTCAGAACTGCTTTGGGATACCTTCTGGTAATCTGACCATATTATTAATTGTTACAGGAATCTGTTCTTTGCCATGCTACTATGGGATTGCCATACTACTATGGGAAAAAATTGAACTATATTTTCAAATGAAGTTGGCACCCAGTTTCTTGGAACTTGGGTACCTGATTTCCCATGATCCTGAGAACATCTCTGCTTAGATATTTGAAATAAGGCCTCCTCATGCTTCCACAGGACTGTGCAAATAACTACTTGCCTAAAGGTCCAACATCCATTACTACAGAATGTAAATAAAAATGAAAAATCCTCAATATACAAATTTTATTAGGATGTGCCAGTTCTGAAAATGAGGTAGTGTATAAATGGTGAATGTTCAGTATTATGGTTTTCAGAGCAATGCAGTAGTCTTATCTGCTTGGCAAAGCCTTTTGAAACTAGATTGGTAATTGTAAGAGCAAAAAAATGAAGGAACGTATCTGGTTGATGAAGAAAACAGCAAATAATGAGGGATCATGTGTTGCTGATAGATAAATTATACATGGGTACATATAAACTGTATTATCAGTCAGAATAGGCCTGCCATACAGAGTGCTAATGTTAACTTAATGGAAAAATCAAGACTAAATATATCTTATGGCCTAGTTCTACTTCCGTTTGCAATAACTGATTGATTGGTTCAAGATATATATATAGAGAGATATACAAAGCATATGCTTGGCCAACAAGTTATCATTATTATCAGTCTGATAAAAACAAAATAGTAACTGATTAGCACTGCTTTTCATTCTGAAGTGCAACAGCAAAATTGTTTTGAATGAGAAAGAACAGCAGGAATTGATATTATTTGAGGAACCCTGTAACCTCCACTGTAATTTCGTTCTAATAACTGATTAATTTTTATGACAGTTTTTCAGTAAAGTCTGTTTACTGTATAAAACATTCTTTTCTTTTTTTTTTAATCTTTTTAAATTTAATTGATTTCATTTGCGTTTATTTGCTTTGTCACTTTAATACTAACAGGCCAATTCAGTAAATACTCCCATCCAGCACCTCACTGGTGTCCTTGTGTATGGCTTTTCAATTTTAGTAATTTTGCCTTGTCTACTAGCAGGTTTCCAGGTTGTCATGCTGCAAGTTGCAGTGTGGATATCTCCACACTGGGAAGTCAGGCCACCTACCTTGCTTCATAAGTACCACCAAAGCCATGAGAAGGTAATGGCTTTTAGAAATCATTGAGAGAGACCAGATAGGAGTGTGACCTATAGGTAAAGGATCCATATCCCGGAACTTATCCCAGCATCACCTACAATTGCTTTTCTTTTCAGAAATGTGTTTCTTCAATCTTTTGTATCAGTGAGAGACTTTCTAAAATTGTCCCCATAGGAAAATGCTGTTTCCTGATGCATAGGGGAGTTGAATATTTAATATTATATTGCACAGTAAAAACCAGCTCCCTTCTGATAAAAATGCTAATCTGATTACAACCTGTTTCCAAAGGCCTGTAAAGACACATTTTATGCAAAATGAACTGTTGCTTCCAATTATTGTTGTTCTTCTACAGTTTTGTGATGGGCCTTCAGAGCAGTAAGAATAATAACTGAGCACTAATATTTTCTCTCAACATTATAATCTCAGTGATTTCACTGGTGCCTTAGATTGGTGTAATGGAAATGAGAATCAGGCCCGTGATTCCTTCTAATACGTATCTTATTTAATTGCTTTAAAATAAAACCACTAATCAGAGCAACTTTTATTTAACAAGAGACATCATTATGATTTACATGTGCAGTTTCCATTGAAGTTTATAGGAATTTTTACATGGCTTTCCCAATTTGGTGGAATTTTTCTTTTGCATTCTATTAAATTTTAAATAAAGGAATACCACAGACACATCCTATGTATTGCAAAATCATAACTCTGGATCTCTCATATTTGTACTGTACCTTCACAGGGTAATAGTTATGATAGGTTGGCATTTTTATCAATCTGTTTTGTTCTTCCTTAATCAGCCTACACAGCCTCAGGCACATCCCAAGCCAATCGATATGTGGGACTAGGCCCAAGAGACCCATCCTTCCTACATCAGCAACAGGTGGGCAAGTTTCACATAGGTGTAATGATATAGAGAAGTTTTGCAATATTACCGTCCTACATGCTGCCACTGTTATCTTGGATTAGACTGGGATTCTAAGGGTTTCAGTATTTGTCATCTGAAGGTGAAGTGTATTCAAAACAACTGAAACCTTTGAGAAATGTCAATTTAGCATATGATTTCTTACATTTGTGCCATCTTAAGGAACTTCTAATCATATTTCTTTCAACTATTTTATTTTTCAAGATGCTTATATTTCAAGAATGCTTATTCTGTAATAGGATTTTAGGAAACAGAATGAAATGTATAAGCAGCAAATATTCATTTCAAAATGAGTTAAAAAAATATGCAAAACTTCCACAGCTAAAGGTCCAACTTATTATTTTAAAACTATTTTTTCCCCTAGATGTGTAAGCCTACATTTCTTCATTTTAGTTCTAGAAGCTGAGTTACAAAACCAAATTCTCAATGCAATCATTTATAGTTTAATAGGTTTAAATTGGTCTGCTGATTTCAAACATGGTAAAACCACATTCTTGTTCTGGTTTCTTACATCATTTATGTTTCAAGTACCATTTTAAATTTCACATCTCATTAATGCTGTAAATTTAATGCAAATGAAGTGTTTACCCAAACTGTGAAAATATACAGCCGAGATTAATGATGATTTACAAACAAATTAGCTGGAGTCAGTAGCAAGGCCATACATATACAGAAATGCTACATTACTGGTAACAGGAATAAATTCAAACCCTTTAGAACATGTTTTATAATGTGTGTTTCTGTTGCTCCTGTATCTTAACAGTTGAGGACTTTGAAATCAATAGCATGTACAATGTTATAAAGAAAAAAGCTGAATGTGGCAATAACAAAAAGGGCTGTTAAATAGTCCTTGGTATTTATTATACTATATTTTCTTCTCAGGCTTGAGTTCCTGTTAACAGTTGGTACACATGACTGTCTCATTTTTCAGTAAAACCTCCCTGTTTTGTGTTTGCTGAGGTGCAACTGAAGCATGCTTCATCTGGAACTCTCCACCTCTACCCACTCCCAGGGCAAGGTGGCAGTATGTCCGTTTTAAAGGTCACCACATGCAGAGTTTAGAAAAAATCATAAAGATGATTATTTATTCAAGATAGTTGATGCTTTGCCAATTTCTTTTTTAACCAGTGAGACCTAACTGGAAACATCTGCACACTTTTATGAAAATACCAAATGACAATTAGTGGGTTCACCAACCATTTATTTTTCAGTGAATTTCCTGGTGTATTGCTTTTTTTTAAAACCTGTCAAAGATTGTTCTCTTATGAAATGTGTTATAATTACTATAACATGGTTATTTTATAAAGATACACTGTATATGTTTATTGCATTTTAAAATACACACGTGTCTCTTTTTAAATACACTGGATGTAATTCTGGATTTCATGTGAAGTTTTACAGTGTCCTTTGAAAAGCCTCTGACATCCAATCAACAGCGTGGGGATGTGCAATTTTTTTTTTTTCACTACAAGTTTTTAGACACATTTTTTCTGCAAATTTGTTACTGCTTAAGCCCAATCCACCTTCATCCAAGTTCATTGAAAGAGTTATAGACTTCTTGTCACCTGCCAGAAAGCAGTGGCAGCACGCTTAATTTTCTCTTGGCTGAGTTTATGGGCATGTAAACTGTACACTGCTCATTTCATGCATCTTTTGTATATTTTTGCCTTTGTGTAGATGAATATAAATTTGAAGATTTCAGCAGTGTTGTAAGAACATAAAAGTGAGAAGGATCTCAAGGGTCATCACAGTCTGTGGTGTTTACATCTCTATGTCTAATAGTCCCTTTCATGGTAAAACATGTGTCCAGATGGCTCAGGGGGAAGGGGAAAGTAAATTAGGTGGTCTCACATGCACTTGATAAGCAGAAAAATTCTTCAATGCCACTGTGTGAAACCAGTGTTCTCCCTTCTAAAGTATATTGCTTCGTAGACTAGTTACATTAGTTCAAGAGCACCAACTGGTGATCAGTGAGCTATATAGTAAATTCAAAAACTGTGTCATGTTTTTGTCTTTGCTGTGAATTCTCTTCTGTTCTTATGCAGTGGATATATGTGTATGTTTACCTGAGTGTCTTTAAGGGTGAGGCACATGTGTGGATGCTTGCACATATAAATACACACAAAATCAGTGAATAGTATGTACTGCTGAAACCATTTGAAAGAAAACTTTTAACAACAAGCTTTTTCATATTAAGCAAATATGAACATATAAGTGTGTATATATAAGTTTCTAATTAATTAGTTACCTTCACTCACTTAAATTTTAAAGGCATCTCTGAGATGACAGTGCCATATATGTTTATTACCCAGAGAGTGTGGTAGAGCACTGAGATTGTCTAAACAGTTTTTGTAGAGCAAAGGTTATCCTTCGGTAAGGCAGAAATGAGATTGATTTACTATGTCCTTTCATTACTTTACAACAATTTAAAAGAGACCACTCTTCTTGTGGCAGATTTTAAATGCATTTGGTTAAAGCAGCCTATGATGAATGAAAAGAAAAATCAGAGGGTACATGAAATAAAGGTAATCAATCATTTTGTACTGTTGGAAAGCAATTCTAATTTAGAAAGCCAATGGTTTTAGTTCCAGAGAGGTCTTTTAAACATTCACCATACCCTGTAATGCACATTGACCCCTCAAGAATAAATATTGTCACCGGTACATTTTTTTACTTCATTGGAGGAGTCTTTATGAAGATTTATTCTCTCTGGTTATGAGAAATATTGGCATGTACTGTTGAGTACTTTTCATTGTTGTTAAAAAGAACCATTATGTAGCCTGTTTAAATTGCAGTAACCACAATAAATTTTAAAGTTACACATATATTTTGCAACAGGCATTTACATAAAGTCTTTTGACAAAGTGATAGTTCGCTAGAACTTCCAGTAAACAATTTATACTTCAATCTACCTGGAATAGTTAGATTTAGATGGGAAGCACTGAATAAAACTTTGAAAAATGGTGCATAATAGCACCAATGGGAGCAGTTTATTTGCTTTTATGGACCTGGATACGGTGAAAAATATACTGTCACAACGTGGCATGCTACTTTGTTAGAATGACAATGTTGTAATGAGGAATTGTAACTATGCAGTCCACTTTTTGCTGCAGTTGCTGTTGGGTCTTGGTCCCTGTTACTTGCCTTGAAATGCCAGGTATATCTATACTGTGACATGAAGAGTTACAAAACATGTCTCTTGTTCAGTGGCATCTAGAAAGTCACTTTTATCTTATAATTTTGTTGTTAAAAACTCATGTCATTCTTACCCACTCCCCTGTTATTACAAATTGTTAATGACCACTTGGTTTGCTTTTCTTTATTCAGCATTAGCTTATGAGAGCTGTTAAGTATTGATAATGTAACTGCAGGGAGGGCACCATAGGAAAGGGCAAGGAAGGTGATAAGAGCTAGTACCTTTGTGAGACAGTTTTTTTTTAAGATTACTATTACTGCCTGGTGGGATTATATTATGAAGTTAGATCTATTATTCAGTGCTCATCATATGTGCTGAGAAACATCTTAAATGAATTGCACATAACAGAAAGGTTAGATAATCTTCACAATTATATAGGAGCATTTCTCTCTGCCCCACCCCCCTTCTTTCTCTAATTTGCATCTACTGAATGTTTGTAGTTTCTAAGCGTAGATTAGAGAAGGAAGCAGCAAACTGAGGAAACACTGGAATTGAATCTTCTGCAAGTGGACACAGTCCCTTGCCAGATTGTGGCTGTGCCTCCATTCTTTTGGCTAAATAATTTTAATGGAGGCATCATTAGCTCAATAACGATGTCTTAAGGAGCAGAATTTTCATGGTTATGTGATGGCATTTCTGTAGCCTCCTTGTGTTACTGTTCTCAGTGAATTTATTATGTTTTTAGAGACAGGTTAATGTTGTTTGTGATTCTGAAGCTAGAATTTTGCTAGAAATACTAGTCATGCACTTTACCTGTGTAAACAATATAAAAAGATAGATGAACAGGAAGATAGATATTAGTATTTATTGCAAATACAGAGGAATAGTTTCACAAATTTCTATTGGAATGAAGGAGATAGATAACTGACAGGTTTTGTTTCTTGGATGTTTATTTAGTTTTATGGGTGATTTTGTTTTTAATCAGAAAATGTAAATAAACAAGATAGCTATTAAGGTCTGTAAAGACAATGACCTCTAGAATTTTCTGTTCTGTTACAGTAAACTGTGTTAACTAATGCTGGCCGAGTTACTGAGGAGCTACTGAACTTTACCAGTTTTTGCGCAGATTAATCCAGTGGCATGGATTTCACTAGAGCTTTGAATTTCTGGGTGTGGTGTGTGGTGTGCATGATTTTCACACAGCTTGGATGTTTATGAGTAAGACATTTGCCATGTACCTAATAATAAGAAATACTTAAGGTATCTAAAATGAAAAATCAGAGAACTGGAGATAGCTTTTTATTTCCTACACACCAGGCTGCCCTGCCTCTTTGGTAGGAAGTTGTTCTTACCAGATGCATCCTTTAGTTACTGAATCCCACAGTTCAAAATGGAGTTCTCTTCATACTATTCACCATGTAAATTGTAAACTTTAATGTCCACTGAACACAGAGTGTCTGTTTGTAAAACGTTTTGGGTGGATGTTGCTTTTGCTTTCATCGGAAGGCTGAAAGAAGAGCATAAGTGGACTCTTAAACAGAACTTCTCAGTAAAGCCAGGAAACAGGTTATCAACAGTTAGGCTGTTCTTATTGTGTCCCTTATCACAACTGACAGTTTGACGTAAAACTGGGTCACATGACCACCAGGGAGGTATGTAAATGGATAAGAGGTCACCTTTCACATATGCTTGCTGGAAAGGAAACACATTTAAAGGAAGTTTCAGTCAAACAATGACAATATGCAAATATTAATTTTTATGGACTTTTCTCAACTAACAGAAGCTATAGCACAGTCTCCTATCACACTTTCCAAAATACATATCTGCTTCTGTGATGGCTATGACTGCTTTTACTAGCCATCACAGAAGCTTGAAATGAATGTTAGTCTTCAACAGCAACACTTTAAATAGGAGAATATAAACCCTGCTTAAATATTAAGCTGTAAAAAATATTCAGACTATGACTAAAATTGAGCTGTCCACTGTGGATTTTTAATGTACACAGGATTTGAATACTTAAAACTCTGCTGCATGGTTTTGCTTGCTAGCTGCCCAGTTTAAACTGAACAGGGAGATAGAGTGAAATTTAGCTCTTGCGTAGAACTTCACATTAGTGTGTCTCACAGCACTGGAAAGTGCAGAACACAGTCAGTTCCCTGGCATCTTACAGAGGGCAGGACAGGAACAGGGAGGTGAACGTCTTTAAGAGAAGTGGAAGAGTTAGGCCTACAGCTCTGCTTCTGCTTGGGCTGTGGCCGCATCCCACGATGCAGCTGAGGTGGGTGAAAGAGTTCCACTGCCTCCCTGGAGAAACAGTTACAGTGGGCTTTGTGTTCTCCATTACTCCATGAGTTTAGCAGTGAAGATGTATCTCAGGGATGAGAGACTGCAGCAGTAAGGACATGTTGCTGCATCTCCATGTGTCAGGAAATGATTGGGCTGCCTGTGAAGTTTCCCCATCTGCTGCAAGGCTGGGCATCCTTTTCCATTTCAGAATACAGACTCGTTCTTTTTTTTTGTGTGGTTAGGTGAGAAATAAATAAAAAAATCAGTGATAATGTTTTGGGGATAGAAGGTGTTACTGAAGTGGTGTTCATGTGGCTTGCCTTGCTGAAAATAACGCTGTGGGGCTGAAGAGCAGGCCTTTGCAACAGGCTTCTAGGAAAGAATTTTCACCACAACACACGCCGAATAGGGTCATTTGTTTTGCATTCATAGCTTGTTTTTGAGAAAGTTAGTAATGTTTTTCAGCATTTATTAAATGTCTCCTGAGAACTATTTCTCAAGGCCCTCTACAGAGGAACTGAAGTTTTCTCAAGCAGCCTTTAAGTAGTTTCCTGCCTTTCCCTTTTACGTGTCCTGCAGAGAAACTTTTTTAGATGGCTTACTATGGATGAGAGTGAATGTGCCGCCTTGTCTCCAGCTAACACAGAGACATGATTTTAGAGGCTGCATAAGTTACTCTGAGGACTACAACTAGCCAGAAAACTTTCAACATGACTCTAGACAACATATAGCACTCAAAATACTGTACTAAAATGCCCTACATCCTCCCAAAGCTTGCTACTCATGTCAGGTCTGTGCCCCCAGGCTTTCCCTAGTGGGCTGTTAGGACATCCTCCAAAGGCAGTGTTCCCACTGCTGCTGTGAACAGACATCTTCTTCCATCAAATGGAGCCAGAGCTCACAGAGCTCTTTTAAGCTTCTCCAGTCTTTTACCCAGGAAGCACTCAACACACGTGAGGGATGGAGATTCTGAATATGATATTTCTTGATACTTTTGAAAGTATTTTTCTAAATCTTAGACATTCTGATCTCTATGCAGGAGTGATTTGGGAGGGGAAATTTTGTGAGAGGGAGGAAGAGAAACCATTTTCCTGGCAGGTTAGAATTTAAAGACAATGCAGCAGCTATATAAGCCTGCTGAGGAGTGTGAAGAAACAGTTCTGAACATCGGGAAAGTGCTTTTCAGCATAACTGATGTGCTCCTGGCCTTGTCATACAGATGTGTGGATTGTGCAGTTCTTCAAGGTGGTGTCAGGACTGCAAGTACGGCACATTTTGTCCAGTGAATAGTACTACAGTTTACATTAACTATAGGTGTGGTGCAGCATGAATCTTCATATACATGTGCATGTGTCTACAACTCATATATAAAACACCCATGTTCTATTTTTACCATTGCAGTATTCAGATGTATAGTATTGAGATATATATGACAATATAATATGAAGTATGTCATTATTAACATTATGAAATAGATTTGAAAAGCTTTTTAGACCTTTCTTAATGATAAATTTAACATATTAACTATACATGTGGAAAGTTTTCATACAGACTGTGGGAAGAGTATAATGATTTAGTGCAGAAGCTGATTTACTAAAATGAAATGTATCAACTCCTTACTGTTTTCCCCACACAGTAAATCCGGTTGGGTTCTTTAGCAGTCTAAGTACTTACCAGATTTTTGAGCTAGACCTAAGTGCATAACTCATTTGGTAACGCTAAGTTTATAATTTTAGTAATTTTTGTGGTTCTAATCAGCCACAGAACTTTTATTTGTAGATTCCATATTTCATAAAAGAATAAAAGGGGCATGTGTTAACCTTTCAGTCTTGTGTTTCAGCTGGAAGTGAGTTTTTATAGCTAAGTTATAAAGCTTTGAAATATGCACCAGTAATGAAGATGACATTCTTGAGGATTACAGCAGAAACACATCTACTGTACATTGAGTAACTGAGCTGACATATTTTACTATGTCTTTAATATTAAAGTCAGGTTTAGAGTACTGTTTTGTATAGTGACTAAACCAGGTATTTACTTACCCTTTCTTCAAATATATTTAATGTATTATTCACAGTTACCTCTAGCAAACTTTTTGACTGCATGCTTCCTTTTCTGGTTAATTTCATGTGGTTTAGTCATGCTTTTATTGGCCTTTAGAAGGTCCCTTGGAGTTCTTTAGATAACAAACAAGAAACAATCCCTATGAAAACATCAGAGAGTAACATTTCCATTTCTCAGACCTTAACAGCAGGAAGCTTATGAGTCTAACAGCCAGACAGGGTCAGGTTTGCAATATTGTCTTGTCCTCAGCATTTGTATTTTTCAGGAAAAGACTTCAATTAATTGTGCTCATGTGAAAATAGTTTGTTGTAATTTGTTTGCTGTAGCATGTGCTATCCAAAGGCTAAAATGAAAATCCATTGAATGCAATTAAGCTCAGCAACAACATTATCTTCAATTCAGAGTGCTGTATCATATATAATCGTACAGCAATATATATACAGCATGACTATACAGAGGGTGAAATGTGTGTTTTTTCATGAGTCAGATAAGTCCACTTCCTTAAACTTAAAAATAAGCAGTATATCTTTTCAATAAATCTGCTAACACTATAGGGCAGCTGTTAAATAAACAGAGCTATAGAAGGTTGCTTGAACAATCCATGAAGTCAGAACTGATGATTTGAGGATCTGGGAAGAATTTGTTTCAGCTGACATATAGTACATTCCTCATTATATTAAAATGCAATAAAGTATTTTAAATGCTATTATTCTTAGTCTACAGAAAGATTAGATTATTGTATCACCTCTTGCTAGGTAATACCACTTTCAGTAACACTAGATTAATAAACTGCAATTACAAAATACCTTTACACTTCTTAAATAGCAAGATAAGGACATAAAATTTGTTTAATTTGAGCAAATTTTCTAGAGATTGCATGTCTCCTGTGTTTCATTAAATGCATGCTAAAAGATATCGATTATATTTGACCTTTACTTAATACACCGTATGTAAAGCATTGCTTAGAGAAAACAGCATTTTAATTTCCTTTCTTAAAGTACCTTGCTATTGAATATTAACATTTCCTTTTATTCCAGCTCAGTTTGTAATCTAATAATAGCTAATTGTTATGTGCTAAACTCTAGTTACTCTTTTATGCTTTATTAATAGAGGAGCGAATTAAAGTAGCATTATCTTAAGCAAATCTGTAGGCATTTATTTCTCAGAATAAGTTATTTTTGTTTGTTTGTTTTATCTTTTAAAGTGACTTCTTGGGAAAGTAAGGCTTTTGCCATGTACAGTACTAGTTTGCATGTATTCATTTAAATACTAAAAACTGTAGTACTGCTCAATCCATATCTGACTGCTAGGTTTCAATTGACAGCTGAGAATTTGTGACTGGACCATGAATCAAAACGGCAGGCATTTATACCCCAGTGCCAGTGACGATACATTGGGAATTACCTGGCAAAGGTAACATTTTAATTATTTCCACCCCTACACCACCTCTAAAAAAGTTGCATTGGGCTACAGTATCTGTGTTAGTGGGCCTATAGAGGAATATGTGACGGCATTTGATCAATACACGTGTGTAACATTTCTCCATGCATATTGAGGTTATCTTTAGTGCAAGATGAATACTGCCTTAAGCACCTGGAATGACAATGCTGTGCTGTCAAATGCATGGGTTTCATAAATTCAAGGGAATACTGATCTTAGGCTTTAAAAATGAAAATGTAATTTGTAGTCATATTTTGGGGGGCTTAGTGGTTAACACAAAAGAAAATTGTGCTATAGATGAGTATAATAATAAATGTCTGAGGTGGTGGTGGTTTTGAGCAATGAATAACCATACTATTCATAGAGACTTTTATGACTAATCATAATCAGCTGATGTAGATTTAGGTCACTAACATGTACATGAAGGTAAGATTAACCCATCTTATTTCTCAATTAAATAACAGAATAATTAGAAGTGATTTACACAAACGAGAGGTGTTTTTTTAAAAAAAAAAAAAAAGAAATAAACATGATAAAACCCATTAACCTTTGGTACATTAATAAATTGCACATTATTATCTTTTATATCTCTTGATATATAATGAATTATGGTAACAGTAGAGGCATATTTCTAAATAGGCGTTGTAATGAAATCAGCATAATTGTGATACATCAGGTTTTCATCTCTTTCATGTGCAGGATTATGTGCAACATTCAACACTTAATGGGGGTTATATGGGTTAGAAGCCTGTCAGATGAAGTATTAGCTGCTCATTCTGAAAATAATGAAGTTCTCAAGTACCTTTAGGATCATTTAGGTAACTTTTTTTTTGCTGGACAGATGAAGAAGATACTTAGAATCTATTGAAAACCCAACAACAAACAACAACCTTCTTTTTTCATAACTACAGTTCTCTGATAATAACTGTTTTCCTAGAGACAGAAGGTGAGGGGAAGCTGTGAAATTCTGTATGGCTCAATTAGGAAAATACAACCTCAGTCACTTGTGTGAGAGAGCAAGAGCATATGCAAGAAGCAAACTTAAGGCATGAGAGTGAGAAAAAGTGTGTGTGTGATTGTGTGCACATGTGTATGTGTGTATGTGTTTAAGTCTGATAACATGAGCTTGAGCCTGAATCTCAGCCACTCATTACACCATTGATATTAATTCCAGTGGGACCACTCATAAAAGCTGGCATGATGGGTCTCTTTTAGCGCATGTTGAGTATTTACAGAATATTCACAGACTGTAAGTAAATTTTCATTGCAAAACTGTACATTTTAATTCAGCTATTGCCAAACATGTTTTTATTCCCAACTATTGATATTTATATTCATGTTTATAACAATCCTTTTGTGTTAGTTTTATGGATTAACCATTACTTTAACATCACATTTACACTACCCAGGCAAATGCACTACGTTAGCATTTCCTGCTTTCGGTCTGCTATCTTGACACGAGCTTAGTACAACAGCTGGCTTGTTCTTGGAGATGCTGAGTGGAGGTCTGTTCTCAGAGTGCTGAATTTCCTTCTCAGCTCTAGCTGTAGGGGTGTTCAGCTTTACAAGCATCATTTTCTGCCCCCCAGCACCACCCTCTATTTATGCTGTGGCAAGCACATTTTGGCAGACACCTGTTAGAGCAATGGTTCATACCATCTACCCCACCCTCTCTCTCCCCCACCCCCCTTTGCCCCGCCCCAGCCCCTTGGGCAGTATTTTGGAATAGAAGTATAAATTCGTAACAATTTAAGAGCAAAAATGCTGAAGTATCCTGATTGTAAAAGTGTTTGTAGAAAGAAAACCCAATATTTTATGGTCTTTTTCAATTTAAATTTCTAACTCAAGAGGTTTTGCCTAACTCTGTAATGCAGAAAGATGTGCAGAACATTATGTTTCCTCTCCATCTAGGCAAACATCTTCAGAACGCTTCCTCAGAAATTAGTTGTATTCAAGCCAGACTTGCATGCTGCCATCCCACAGGAAATGGGTCAGCAATCCATTAAGATGCCATTAGATAATCTAATTTGGAACTTAATCTCTAAATTAACCATGCTCCATACTTGAAGCATACTTGAGAGAAAGAAAAAAAGTTTATGTTTGAATTGATAGGGGAGCCGAAGCGTGAAGAAGGCTGTTTGTTTTTTCTGTAGCTGTGGTCACGTCTCAAGCTGTCTGGTAACCAGGAGAAACCAGACATGATGTAATTCCAGATTGAACTTGAACTTCAGGGACTTGGAATGGGGGAACAATGGACCATAGGAATCAATAATGTCCATTTTCTACATGATTATGTTTGGAGCTTTAAGTTAGCCTTTATGGGAGAAGCTGCAAGAACAGCAGTGTGACCAAAATGAATGAGATGATCCAGAAGCAAGATGTTAAAGTAAAGAAAACAACTCGAGTAATATTTTCTAAGCAGCACTGCGGATTCCAGCAGGATTAGGAAAGTTCCCGGTCTGCAGTGAGCTGGTTGCCTGCTCTGAGCACTCTTTGTTCACTTAGGTAGGACAAACTTAATCTTATGTTTCCTGTCAGATGATTTTTGGCAGCACTGCTAGGGAAGGAGGAGCATATTATAGAGAATTCCCAAGTCTGAACTGTATCTTTAACCCCTTGGTTACTCTAGTTTTCTACCTCCTGAGTATCTTACCTTGGATTGTTTCTTTTGGAGCAGTAAAATTGCACTGTTTTGGTTTTATTTCTTTGTTTGTTTTATTTTGTTTGGTGCAGTTAGGGTTAGCTGCATTGTCATTTAGTCATGCCAATTTGATAAATCAACTCTTATATTTTAAAAAAGTGCTAAGGTAAATAATACAACAGGTTAAAAGTGAAAATGGTAACATTTGGGGGCAAAAAAAAAGCAGCTTAGATGTGGAAAGTGGACAGTCAGTATTTTGTAGGTGACTGAATGGTCTCTGGTAACCCAAGCCCATGCTCTCCATGGTTTGGTGCTGTGGCAGGCAGTTCTCCACTGGGTCATAGCTCCTATGTGTTTGCAAACCTCTTGTAGCCTTGTGTCTGCACCAAACACTCATGTGTGCATGGTCCAGAGTGCAGCATGGGCATGCATCATTTCTTTGGGCCCTTCCTCTGCTGAGGATTTTCTTTGTTAGCAATGAGCTCTGTAGCCTCTTCCTGATCTTTCCTGATCTTTTTTTTTTTACACTGTCACAAAAAGTGAATATAATAAGAACTACAGCAGAATTCCTTTTTTGCCTCCTTTATCTGCTCAATGGGTGATATGTGCCTGCTAAACTATAAAATTCATCCTAAATAAAGTTGAGGTATACTTAATATATGTCCTGAAATAAATGCTCACCTTGGAGGTGAAATTTGACAGCTGTGCAACTAGAGACACCAGTTTAGAATGGTAACAGAAGTATCACAATCAGTAGATGCTGGAGGGGTGGTTATTCCTTTGGCAGAAACACACAAATGGGAATTTAGCCAGGGCACTGAGTTTAGCACAATTGCATTCCCAAAGCTCATACAGTCTTAACAGTTTGAAATGGCAAAGTTCCTTGTACTTGTGTGAGCAAGCACTTGCTTAGTACAGAGATAGATGAGCTCGGTGACTTGCTAGTACTATTTCTTTTGACACTGAAGGCATTTCTACCTTTTCTGTCCAGTGACTGACCTGGCATGATCTGGTCTACTTCTTCTAAGCTACTGCATTCGTGCACAGGGTAGTAAAGGGGCAAGACAGAAATACTGGTTTAGGTGTACTTTCTGAATGATGGAATGCTTTCACAGACTTCTGAAGCTGTAATAGAAAGAAGGTAGTAACTGGTGGAAAATAAAAATCTTGAAATCCTTCAGATTTACTTAGATCTAATTGGATTTATTTTTTATTGCGTTTAACATTATTATACTCTTTATTTTATTATAACTTCCAAAACAGACTGTATATACACATAATATTAATACTGTTTGTGGTCCTTTCCAATGATATTTTAATCAGAGGTTCTTGAAATAGCAATTACCATTTTTAAGAGGAAATCATGGCAGAACTCTTCATTGAATTAGTATGTGAAAACTATAATAGAAACTGTAAAGGGTAATGTTAACCCTGTGGGATGCTTGCAGACTTTTTCCTTGTGATTTTATTGCATTTGAACAGATAAATATGTTATACTTGCTGTGGAGGGAACTGAAGACACGAGTAGTCTAGTTATAGTAAGAGAAAACTCTGATAGTGAAATTACTTAGAGGTATAATGCTTCAGGAAGGTGGTCCTACAAATCATACTCTCTCTCACAAAGGCTACTAGTCTGACTCTCATAGCAGTTCCTGATGGTACTTCTTATGTAATTTTCTTCAAAACTTAGCCTAGAGCAGATTTTTGGAGGTATGGGATGGGCATTTATATTATAACCTCTGCCAGTGCAGTGCTTACAGATTTCTTCAGGAACAGCGAGCTGGATGGTAGGGTAGATCTGATTTATGCCACTCATACATGCAGGGCTTTTTTATCAGAAGGAGAAGCCACATGGGCAGAGGAACATGTTGTGAACTTCTGCAAGGACAATCAGGTTGCCTATGTTCTGGACAATGAAAGGAGTTTTGGCTTCCCCTGTGGCACTTAGTTGAGGCAGTTAGTTGAACAGAGGGATCATTGCCCCTGCTTTTGTGAAACCAAAGGCTGGAAGTTTGGACTTCTGTTCCAAACTGGTAGATAGTGTGGTGAAGGGAAGGGTGTTCTCCTCTTTCCTGCTGGTGCCATCCATGTGGGCTCCAGACTGAGTTTGCTTTGCAGTCAGCAGTAACGTGCTTCTGCTAGGATGCCCTGGAGAGAAACTGTAGATGGTTTCCACGGCAGAAGCTAAACTGTGATGCTCACAGAGGTCACTTCAGAGTAGCTTTGAGAAAGCTGACAGGGTATCTTCCTCTTCTGGGCTGTAAGTCTGGCTTGGCTGCACACAAGAGCACAGAACAGGCTTTGGTTCAAATGGTAGTTGAAAGTTCAGTTAAATTTACTGCAAATATAATGGGGTATGTGAGAATGTTAGATAGACAGCATATGCAACTTAGCAGAGACTGAGTTTTTTTTTTTTGTTATTGTTTATGTCATAACTGTTCTCAGAGCTTTGTGCTGTGATTAGTGCTATTTACCTCAGTAATTTTTATTCAGATTTCCTCTTTTGTCCGCAGTAAATGCTTGGTGGTGGTATCACGACTGGGGTGGCTGGAGATAGAGTTGAATCAAACTGCAGTATGATAGGGTTAATTTGTAAAATACAACTGGAGGCCATCAAGCCTTGAACATCATGGCGTAGGAGGTGCTAGTGAGCAGCGTGGATGTCCTGTCTTTCCCAGCTGCCTGTGGGGCCAGCTGCTGCCCAGGGAGTGCGTGTAGATCAGGGACTTCAGCATGCCTTTAGAGGCTTTCTTACCCCCTAAGGACTCATAAGCAGCATTGATGAATTTGTTGCAACCTGCATTTTTGTCATGGTCTTAATATAAGGTGGGAGGCTTAAAAGGTTTAAATAAACACCTATTAAATTTATAGATTATATGGTAGCAACTGTCCTATTGGTCATTTGCCACAACTTATTTTTATTGAGTACTTCCCACAAAACCAAGATCTCTGTCTCCTACACGAAATAGTAGATAAGAAAGCTGCTACAAATAGTACTTTGTTCTTTATCAGCACTGACTGCATTTCTTCACCTGCTGTAATCATTAGACGGCTGTCAGCTTTAAAGCAAAGAAAAACAAAGAAAAAAGTCACATATGTATGTATGTAACCACTGAAGTGCACTGTAAATCTTCAGAAAGATAACGTGGAAGCTGTGTGTTTAGCCTTTGCAACAGAAATTGTCGGAATGCCATGCTGACCTCACATAAAATTTACATTCTTTTAGTTAATGTTCTATTTTGTTTAAAGTTGCTAAACACTGTAAATCCCAAAGGACAGCAAAGAACTGTGCATTATAAAATGTATGTTCAGACAGATCCTGAGGAAACAAAACTGGTTGGGATTTTTTTTTTTCTTTTTATATTTTATTACTACTCTCTATTTTTACAGATCCCTGTGCTTTAAAACAATTTGCATTGTGTTTGTGATTTCAGAATTTGCTTCTTAATATTACTGAAATCCAAAGAGGAAGGAGCAAAAATGTTTTTAAATTGTGAAAGAATATGAAGCATAAGTTGAAAAAATTAAGCCCCTTAAATGGGGTTCTGTTACTGAATTTTTTAACTTTTGTTTTTGAAACATAATCTTTTCATCAGATCATATTGGACGAATCTTTCATGCATAAGTGGGTTTAAGTCTTTGTGCATATTTCGAGATTTTCAGCCCCTTTGAATGACATTCATACTTCAGGCCTTTAAAATAAATTAGGATATTCATATTTTTTATATTTCTTTGAGGAAAAAAACAAAGTCCCACTCCCTTCAGAATTTGATCGTCATTGAGACAAGGGGGTCAGCAATTTTTTACACTTTTTACTGCGCAAACGGCACAAGAAATTAATTGTTAGGAATCTAAGTAATAAGTTAACAAGTTTAGAGAGGTAAAGAGTATCAAACAGGAGTAAATGACAGAAGCTGTTTATATTACTTTTAATACTAAAGGCTTTAAGAACATGTCCTTTGGAGTTCACAAAATAAGTTGACTTCTTTTCTTACTGTTTAGGCAGCAACATAAATAAGGAAGGATTGCATAAATCTGCCAAGTGAAATGTAGTTATTTTATACCCATGTAAAATAGATAAAAATGACCTGTTTCCTCTTTACACCCACTGCTACAGAAGTTCACCTGCTCACGCAGAGAGAGAGCAGTGCAGAGGGGTGACCAAAGATAGGAAAGAAAGAAAACTTCCAGCATCTATCATCCACAAAACATATGTCAGAGGTTTTAGTCTTCAGATGTGTTATCATGAAGCTTATCAGTCTAATCACAGTGTGAATTCCCATGTAAGGTGTTGTGTTTGTAGAAACACCTAGTGTGGAGAAAAACTCAATCACAATGAAAAGTGGAGAAGCATGTGTTTGCACAGAGTGTTCTGGTGTTGTTGGGCAGTGATTGCTGACATAATGATGCTGGTTTTCTTTTGAATAAATTTGACAAGACTTTCTCTAAAGTCCGTTACTTCTAGGTTGCCAGAAACACATTTAAGGAACAGGCAGCTGAGGGTCTGCTCTGGGTACTGAATAGAGGCAGCTGAGGTCTTTCTTTGAGTATCCATCTTGGAAACAATGGGGGCTTCTGGTTTACCAACCTGCTACAGGTTGTTGTCTGCTAAACATGTGAATGTCATTGGGATTTAAGCTCCTCAGTGACAAAGTTATTTTGAAATTATGACTTAAGTCCTAAAGTCATTGAATTGCCTTTGAAAACATTTTCTTTCTCAGACGTTTGTTGAAAAATTTATAGTACTTACTGCTACTCTTGACTTATGGCTACCTTTGCTACAAGTGCTTACACGATTGGGCCCTTGTGTTATACAGTGTTCCTTAGGCACTGATACTTTTTGAGAAAAATCTATAAAGAAAGCAAGTTTTTCTTAATATTGAAGGTACTCTGGGGACCCACACATCTTGGAGGCTCATCTTGGGCCTGAGACAAGATAAACTGCCATGTTGTAAGAGGGTAGGAAATTGTACAGGAAGCTGAACCACTGAACTTGCATATTGTGTTCTTGGAAACAGCAACCTGTGCACTGTAGTGTATTTGACTAGCTCTTAAATAACATCCTTGTGCTATATAGTGTCACATGTATGGCTTAGTTGTGTCTGCTCTGTATATTTGCGTCTGAAATTTTTGGGAGGTTTCATAAACAAACAGTCCACTTAGTGTTAAAACAGCAGTAATACTACTTGTAACTCAGATCAACACCGTTTTTTATCTCAAATGTGTCATACTTTCACAGAGAAAACTATGAAGTAGAATCTCAAGCAATATGCACAAACTTAGTTTCTTATTTTATCTTACTAATAATATAATAATATTATTATTGTGCTATTAATAATGGATATGGCTTAACTTTGATTCAAATTATATGTGTTCTTTTTACAACATGATTAATTTTATTTTTTTTTTCCCTTTCTTTCTCTCTCTTTTTCTCTGTCCTTACCTTTTTCCCCTTTTTAACAGTCCTGGTACCTGGGCTAGCTTGGTTCCTTTTCAAGTTTCTAATAGGACACCGATCCTGCCAACAAACGTCCCAAATTATGGTTTGAACATAATTGGAGAGCCTTTCCTTCAAGCAGAAACAAGCAACTGAGGGAAAAATAAAATAAAGAGACAAATTTCAAAAAGAAAGGAAGACAGGAGGAGAAAAGAAACTGAAGAAAGAAGAAAAAATAGACCAGCAATTGCAGCTCTTACAATCACTAATTCCCTTATGGTTGAAACTGAAATGACATGCAAAGGGTCGATGATATTTCACTGATGAGTAGAATGCAGCCCCTGCTAAGTAGCCTTTGTTATATGAAGTCCGCTGGGAAATAGATGTTCTGTCTCTGACAATATATTTTAACTGACTTTCTAGATGCCTTAATATTTGCATGATAAGCTAGTTTTATTGGTTTAGTATTCTTGTTGTTTACGCATGGGATCACTATTCCTGGTTATCTCACAAAACAAAGGCTAGGCAGCAGCAACAAAGCTGCAGGAGGACAAGGGCCGTAGCCAGCCATTTTCTCAACACTCTGATTTCTAGGTGTTTTAAAAATAAGCTCTGTAGCCTTTAGTTATTAGTGTGGATTTATTAAACTTTGGCCCTTAATTCAGCCTTTTCTAGTGTGTTATGCAGTTTGACGTTTTCAATCAAATATGAACACACAAGCTCTGTGGAAGAAATGCCTCTATGAAGGTATAAGTGTTATCTCCTCATGCAACAGTAAAAATGAAAAAGAAAAAAAATGAACGTTTTCCCCACTAAAGAAACTTACAGAGGCAAGTGCAATTTAAAAATCATATCTAATGGGTCATCAGTATAAGTCCTTCAGCCCTTGGACTCTAAATTGAGGGGATTAAAAATAGAAATAAAGATTACATTGAACAAACTTATTTTTCTCCTCAGTTTTTGAGGGCATCAAAAGGCATTAAATCAAGACAAATCATGTCCTTGAGAAAAAGAAATCAATGGAAACACAGCACTTCTGTTGGTTTAGCTGCTGCCTCCACACAGGGGTAGGATTTATTTATTTAAAGTTACTGGTTGCATCAAGAACCCATAGGGTTTACATGTTTCTGTAAAATCTGCATCGTAGAGACAAAGAGATGGGCAAATCCATGTCACAAGGGCAAAGCTTACCGTTTACAAACTGGTAATACCAGGATGGGGATATGTTATATTTAAATAATGCACTCGTAAGTTTAGTTGCAGGGTGCTGAAAACTTGCATGGTGCTTTCAGAAGTTAGCCTTGTTCAACAATTATCACATATTGACAGAAATATAACGTGCATGGGCAGACATTTTGCCTCTATGTCTCTTTAAAAAAAGAATTAAAATACTCTTTCCAGTAATCCTGATTTGCACGAAGTTATAATGTCCACATTACGTGCCTTGCCTTGAAATCTAAAAAAATGGAAAAAAAAAACAAAAAAGAAAAAAAAACACACAAAAAAATTTGACATCACTACACTTGTTTTGCTGCATTTATTATAATTTTAAATCTTTACCATTTTTATGACAAAATATTTTGTACTCCAGATGGGAAAAAATGCGTGACATCATGGATTTTTTAGACAGTTATACCTTTATCTCACATTTATAAAGCATATCATGGCTGTGTATAGTTGCCGCTTAAAAATTGTAATCAACCAGCAATATTTTCAGTATTTTGGTGTTTTTTCTATTAACCTTTCATGTTTTTCATCTTCCAATTAATATTGGGGGGAGGGGATACAAATTTATATGAATTATGCAATACCGAGTTTTGCCTATGTAGGTAGTGCTTTTAGCTGTATTGGTTATTATAGGTAAGTACACAGATTTAAAACAAAAAGAAAAAAAAAGTATGCTTTTTTTTGTTTGTTTTAATTGACCAAAGTGGGTACTGCTATTTTTGCAGTGTGATGAGGTCCTTTTCTGTACTGAGAGGTGGACAGGGGATTTTTTTTTATACATACATATATATATATTCTGGGGTGGGTGGGGAGGATTTTTAACACTTTACAGTGTAGCTGTGAAGCAGTGCACCCTTAGCCAGGCAAGGGCTGCAAAGCGACTGTTCTGCCTACTGTGACAAACTTTCAAATCGGTTCCCTCTTTTTAACTTCCCACCTGGGGTGCAAGCTAAAATCATTTCTGGATTTTAAAAATAAATAATGAATTCTGTTGGAGGCAGACTTGACTTGAGGAAATTGTTTTACTTTAAGCTTTTTTGGTTTTGTTTTTTTTTTTTTCCTTGAGAAAGAGAGAGAGAGACACAGAGAAAAAGTTCAAGACCCACAGCGAGATGAAGCCTTTTCCATTCTGGCAAGGATACTGCATCCTATAGTATTCATGTTAGAAAATGTTTTTAGCTCAGAATGACAAAGGCAGTTGCTTTGTCTAGGAAATGCACATAGAGAGCCAAAGTCTTTGCTGGCATAACTCCACTGACAGCAGAGTTGCTCCTGCAGAGAATTTGCCTCCCTTAGTCTGCTCAACTGGTAAATAGTCTTTATTTTTTTCCCCCTTCTATGTCAAAATATTATTCTTTTTTTTTTTTACCCTCCCACGTTTGTTAAGTCACAGCATCTGATTTACAATTTCAGGCTGTTTTTCTCAGAGGTTTGCAGTGTCTTCTCATACAGCAGGTCAGATGGAGAGCTCTGGGCTCTTAGCAGGGAAGGAGTTTCTTAATGCACAGAATTATGATGTAAATAAAGTGTATTTCCATTGCATTTTGCAGATCAGTAGTGGACCTCTTGCTGCAGACCTCTGATGCAGCATGGATCTTTGAGATGTATGGCTGAACAAGGGGTGATTTTTTCTTAAAAACACATCCTTGTGTTAGAGCACAAGCAGAGTTTAGACCTGTGGGTTTGGGATACCCTGGTGGGAAAATCCATCCCTTTGCAGTTTTCTCCGCATTTTGGATGTTTTCCTACCATGTAGCAGCCCTGCAGTACAGCTCCAGTGACAGCCACCCAACTAAGCACAGAGCAGTGGCACACCAATGTCAGTCCCTTCCTGCTCTGGTCAGTGTGTGGCAGGTGAAGAGTTGCAGTGGTGGCACATCCTCATGTCTCCAGTAGGAGATTCATGTATAGGCAGGGCCAGCATGGCTACAGAGATGGGAACTGCAGAGAAGAAAATCTTTGAGATTTATCTATAGTTAAACTGAAAAAAAGCAAGCCTACATAAAAAAATAAGACATCAAAAGAAAATGAAAATCAATTTTATGTCACTTTTTTTCTGTGCTCCTTTAACAAGTGAGTTTGTTCACTAAACACTTGCCTATTTGGGTTACTGAAATGCACTAGACCCACCCAGAGTGCACCTCAGGCTCCCACCTGGTAAAACGACGTTTCTTCACACCATTGATGCTAAGCAGTTCAGGTGCAGAGGGTCCTTGATTAGTACCATTAGCAAGATGTCCCCCTTGAGCTTTTAATAGCACACCAGGATGAAACTGACAGTTCAGGCTTCAAAGTCAATATATAAGTCAATAGTCAAAATTATGATTGTCCTTGTGGGAAGATGGATGCCTTTAACAGAGCTTCTTTTTGTTATCTCTGACCTCCTGTATGAGAAATACTGAGCTTACAAATACAGTTTTTTAAAAGCAGACTCCATCCATGTGGATGAATTTGGTTGTTAAGCATCTGTGGGTTTTTTGAACCTGCCTCTCTATCAGAAAAGCCTGTTTGGAAGAAAATGAACTTTTCATTAACTGTAGGTTTGGTTTGGTGTTTTGTTTTTTTTTTTTTTTTCTTCAGTTATTGTTTTGTTTCTTTTTTTTTTTTTGTTTTTGTTTTGGGTTTTTGTTTGTTTGTAGGTATTTGGGGGTTTTTGTTTGTTTGGTTTTTTTTTAAGCTCAGCAGTCAAAAGATTAAGATTGAGAACTCAAATCCAGTCTCTAGCCTCCTCCTTCACCAGGAAGTGTATTCTGACTGAATTGAGCCACCCCGTTCTATGTGCACTGTTCTGCCTTTATTAAGTTGCTTTGCAGCCCTGGCCTCATGGCTGTGCCACTGAAGTGTGTTTCCCCTGTGACATGAACGTTTGAGGCTTGACTAAGGAAAAAAAAGGCAGTGAAGGAGACTGTACATAAAGGCATGGCAGAAATATTAATTATAGCAATATAGGTGTGGGGTGATGTTCAGGTGGGCAGCTCCATTGAAAATATGTGAATGAATTTGTAAAGCTGCAAGTAGCGAGAAGAAAGGAGGATCTTCTGAATGAACCGCCTACCTTGTAGACAGTAATTTGTACACTGTATAGTTTTGTTAAGAATTTTTTTTTTTAATTAAAATACCCTTGTTTGTAAAGCTAACTTTTTTAACAATTATAATGGAAATGCATGTCATTTCCATTTTTAAACAAGAATATTCTTTCTTTGGAAACTGGACTTGGGTTAAAACTCTCCAGTTTCTTAATTTATGTATTAAGAAAAGAAATCTGTCCATGTTAGGAGTTATTTCGCAGATGCCTGTGCTTGAAAAGCATAGGTTGCTAATCCTTTAAAAATGTAAATGGAGAAAAGTTATATTTTATGAAGGTTATTTTGTTGTATTTAGTATTGGAAAAGTTGGTTTTCAGAGCATTTCAAAATGTTGGAAGCACCACTGTCGTTTTATTAGTATATATGGCCTTTAGCAAAAGTTTCTGTGGTTGTTACATGATGGTATTTAAGATTAGGTTCACAGAGCAATTCAGGATAGGCAGAGAACTAAAACAGTACTTATGTCTCACATAGCTGTGTCCTCAGGGAGCAGAATTTTGGATTTGCAACTTGTAGCTTCATAAGGACTTAATGAAAGAGATTGCACAAGGACATACTCAGCTGTGACACCGGAGTGTGTCCTGTACCTAAATCTAAATTATATTTGCTGTGTGAGGTTATGAAGGCTGCAGAAAGTTATCCCATATTCAGTGTACAGTATTCACTTTTAATGAAACAGCTCTCTAACGTTGCTGGCAGTAAGGCCCTAAGCATGACATCAATATAGTTTACATGATCCTGTCAAGGTCTTTTGTTAACATTAACCAGCTGCATGCTCCTGGACTTTTTTTTTATTGGGTTTCTATAGAAAAAAAATAGAAAGAAAAAGGAGAATGTAAAAGCATATGCAGGCTAATCAAGTTAAACAGGAAAAGCTCCAAATTGAATGTTCTACTCCATGGTGAAGGAGCTGAAAACTGCCTCCTTCATATTTGCACTTTCTGCTAGTTTGCCAGTTTTCTCTAATTCCTCAAAATTGTGTGGGTGTGGTGGAGCACTGCAGTTGGAGGATAACATGGACCACTGATTTTGCCCTTTAACCCTGCACAATGACCTTTGCATCAGCCAAACTTATTGCCATGACAACTCTTTGTACTGTTTCCATGCCACAGCTCTGTTGGTCACATTGTTAATAGTAAAGGGGACAAGTTGGAGACGGTCAATTTTTACATTTTTTGTTGCAAATTTTTCTTCAATGGTTGTAAGTAGTTGGTTTGTTTTTTTTTTTATGATAAAAGGGTTCACTAGTTAGTACTCTTTAGAAATATCTGTGTGTTGCAATTCAAATGTATGTTGAATTTGTGAAAAGGGCTTCAGTGCCACTAGCATCATAATATCCTAGAATAAGCCTTTGATACTTTTATTGCCTGATACGGTGACAGTAAAACAAAAGGTGGCCTAAATAAATGGAGAGCAGTGTGAGCTAGTGACACTAAAGCCCGTCTTTGTATTACTGTATTTTTGACAGAATGGTTTTGAAACTGTGCTACAGGGACTGATGTGGCAAATCTATCTCTATATGCAGAAGGAAGTTTTTTAAGAAGTATGGCTTATTATGCATTCTTCATTGAGGGCATTGAAGTTGCATGGACTGATAAAAGTTGATGCAAAATGAGAAAGAAACAAAAACCAGCAAAATGTTTACCAAAAAACTCAAACAAATGAGCAGTGCCTGTTCAATTTCACAGTCTCTGTTGAGTTCAGTTGTAAATATGTATCAGATGACATTTTCTTCAAAAAAAAAAAGAATCTCTACAAAATTGTAGAATGTGAGGGGTTCCTCTATCCCAGGCATAGGCTTCTCAAGAGCTGCATTAGATTATGTCTTCATCAAGCTGTTAATTTGTGCTTATATCATATAGAACTTTTAGTAAGAGGGAAGAGGCACCCCATCTCGATATTTCTCTGAGAACAACTTTTGTAGGGCTGTGTGTTTCTTTAGATACATTTAGTACAACTGTAGGTGACAAGTAGTCAGTTATTGCTTGCTAGCTACACACCAGGGTTGATCCATTTTAAAACTTCTGGCATTTTTCCCCATACTGTAGGCCATAAATCCTGAAGGTTACATTTTAATTGAAAAGAAGGTGCAGGCACAGTCTTTGTGTAATGAACCTTCACTAGTAGGATGCATTACAGTGCAGCTACTTAATTTTGGAATTAGGGCCCTCTGGCATCAGACCTGTTTTTAGCCTGAGTGTTAACAAAGGTTTATGTCGTGCCTGGTTGAAGGATAATAATGTTCTTTTTTGGTACTTTTTTTTTTTTTTTTTAGGTTACAAATGAACTCAAGTGCCACAAGTTTTAAACTGGTGTAAATCAAGCTTGACTCAATGTGATTGTTACTGTTATATCCAGCCTATACTGCTAGCAGCTGCTCATACTGCAGTCAATTACTGGAAGCGGATATATTTCCTATGCAAAAACTGTTTAAACAATAAAAGTGAGCTATGCTACAGACCCTAGTCTTATGTTTTCTGTCTCTCAAATTTGTAATTAGTAATATCTTAGAAACTCACCTTAAAACTTGTACCCTAATAGCATGGCATAATTTACAGAGTTCTGTGTATACTTAGTTTAAATTTAACATATTTTTTGCATACATTTTGGCTTAACAGTTACACTGAAAAAGGGGGAGAACAGAAACAAATGGAGGTAGATATCAGCTCAATTTAAAAGTTAATATTTAGTTTTCATCATCATCTTTTACTAGCCCTAGTAATTCTACAGGTGACCTGAACTGCTTCTCCTATGATTCAAGATTGAGCATGATAGCAGAAGGACGGGAGACTTCTGTTTTCCTTCAATGTTATTGACTTATGACAGGCAGTAAATCTTTGGTTTCTTAACAACCTTCGTGGTAACATTTGCATCAGTCTTACCCAAATTCTTCCTGACTCCAAAAGCTTTGTTTTGTGTCAAGGTCTTCAGACTCTACAAAAGAATTCTTTTTCATAAGTGTGAATTAGCTGAAATCAGCTGAATATGATGTTTCATTCAGGTCATGTTCCTGGAAATACATTGTTTTTTCTTACACTGTTAAGGATCTATGAACCAGTAGCATCAGTCAGCCAGTACTATGAATATGGTCAAAAGATGGCTGACCGGATCACAGTGTAAAGACTTAAACTGAATTATATGAAAATCCTCAAATTTTGCCCCATAGTGAAGCTAGATAACTCTCCCTCTACTTTTATCTACTTAGACAAAAATACTCTGCAGGTTCTAGAGCATAAGCTTTATCCACTTTCAACCATTAGTGTGAAAAATGCAAAATGGTTTGTTATTTTTTTAAATGGACTAATATTTCTGTGAAAGACCCTTCGGTGTATGTGTGTCTCTCCAAAACAAATTGTCAGGCACCGGAAAGTTAGGAAATTCTAACAATTTGTCCTACTAGAACTTCCTTGAATGCTGTCATTTGAAAAGTGCAATGAGGATTTAGGATTTCATATCTAAAACTCCAGAACAGAAAACCTTCCTGCATGACCTAGAGATGCTCAAATTCAGTTCTGCCTCCTTTTCCAGTCACTCTGCAGCCCCCCTGCAAAGCAGTTGTCGTGGTTTAAAACCTAGCCAGACAGCTTGTTCACTCACTCCCAGTGAGTGGTGCCCAGCTGAGAGCAATCAAGGGCCGCCCCCCCCGGGCTCTCCCCTTCCCCGCTCCCAGAGGAAAGGGGAGGAGGATTGAAAGAGTGCAGCTCCCACGGGTTGAGACAAGAACAGTCCAGCAACCAATGTACAACACAAATCACCACCGCTACTTCCAACTACAACAATGATAAGGGAAAATAACAAGGGAAGAGAATACGATACCACCGGCCAAGAAAACGAGTTCCACCCGGAAGCCCGTGTCCTTCCGGGTAACTCCCAGTTACCCCCCACCCCGGGCATGACGTGCTGTGGTATGGAATACCTCCCCGGCTAGCCCGGGTCAGGCGCCCCATCTCTGCTTCCTCACAGCTTCCCCTCCTCCCTGGCAGAGCATGAGCCTCACAAAGTCCTTGGTCAGGGTAAACATCACTTAGCAACAACCGAAAACATCGGCTTCACCAGCACCGTTCCCAGGCTGGAAGTCAAAACACAGCACTGCACCAGCTACCACAAAGGAAAAACATGACTGCTACTGGTGAACTCAGGACAGCAGTCTGCTACTGTATACAGCCCACCAGAGTCCTGCGGCAGTTTCCTACATAACTTTGATCCTCTACTCCACGTATGCCAGTGGCACAGTGGCACTGATGGCAATAATTCAGGACAAAGAATGGCAGCTGCCTGGGTTTATTCTCATTTCCAGTGCCAGCGCCAGGGTTGCAATGCCATGCTCAAGATATGTAATGTAGAACCTAAAGACACTAAGCTATAGGGAGCAGGAAGGAGAGAGTGCGAAGACAGTCATGGCTTGAAACTTCATGGTGAGGACATGCTTAAGTGGGAGGAAGCTCTTTGTTGAGGCCTTTCTGCTTTCCTGTATGCTAGATTGTTGAGAAGAAACAGACAAACAACCCATGAACTAGTGTTCAACATTTTTTTTTTTAAACTCCGTTGTTATTTTTGTATGTTTTTCCATGAGCTTAAAACTTATAGTTGAAAAAGACCACCAGATCCAAACACATGCACAAACAGCAAGGTAGAAATGCGCGCTGCTGCCTCACAATTTTTTGCTGCTTAATTCATTACATTAAGTTGTTAACTTTGCTGTGTGAGGGATTCTTTTTGATTCTCACTTTTATTTCTACTCCAGTTATTGACTAAATTTGTATATTGCTGTTGCTTAGTCAACTTCTGGCTGATTGGGAAAAGCTGAAAACAAACATGGTCTTGGCTTCCTGCTTATGAGCATGGGCCATGGGCATCTCTTTCCTTGGGGATGAAGGTACTTAGAGAACCCTTGGGAGTGCTTACCTGCCAGAATCTGAATCATATCTGTGGGCCTGTATGAATATAAGAAGGTTATTGAATGCTCTGGACAAAACCAAGTTTTGCCTGGAGATAAAAAAGGCTCCTCTCTGCTATCCAGGTAACTCTCATGCCTGTTCTCATGTTTACTTAAAATAGCAGCAGCCTTAATTCTTTCTGATAAAGTAACATAGGATTGTTTTATATACGTCACCCTCAGGAATGGCAGAACCATGCCTACTGAGACTTAACAAGGGAGAGCAGTCTGTTTTTTGGTCAATAATTGATAAAATGAAGCAGGATCTAGCAGAGGGAGCTTCAATAGAAGAGCTATCCTACTTCTGCCTGGCAAATGCATCTTCAGAGCATCCACTGATGGTTTCTTTAAGGTAGTTATTGGCACAAAGTTAACCACTATTACCAAGGACGTTACTTATGAACGTTGATTGACTGAGCTGCTGAGATCTGCAAAGATTCAAGGATGTCTTGAACTCAATTTGTGTTCACTGTTATGTAGTATTCTGGACCAGTTGTACTCTGGTCCAGTTGTCTTACTCTGTCTAAAGTATCAGTGTGTTACCCAGACAAAGAAAGGAGCAAAAAAAGTGACAGGATGTTAGTTGCAAAATAGAAAGCTTTAAAAAATGTGGAAGGTGGTGCCACCATTAGTGCTTCATTTCAAGCCTGACTTGCAGCTGGCCTCTGCAAATGCTGTTACGTGGTACCTAAACAGACCCTGCTGCTTAAAAAAAGAGAAGGAAAACCTGCTCACCTAGGAGGTTGATCTGATGCTACTGGAGTTGATAGAAATCCCTCAGCTGATTTTTGACAAGGATTGGACAAAGCCTACGTTTCTGGCAAGGCACCTTTGTTTAGATGAATGTGGATTTCCACTTCTTAACTTGTGTTTTTTTTCTTTTTGCCTTTCTTAAAGTGGGTTCCTTAGGGTGAAAGGAGGTATTCAAAGCAGAACATAACTGTTTCTGATTTCTAAATTGATGCTCAATCCAAAAACAATGGCATCTATTGACAGGCTGCAATGCAGGCTGCTAAAACCAGCACACGTCGCTGTGGGCAGACAAGCAAAGCCACAACAGGACTGGGGCATGGATAAAAGATATATCTCCCCATAACTGACAAGTCAAGCACTGCAGCACTGTGAAGCTGGAACCATATCAATTGTAAGAAGCTGTCTATTCAGTTTTCAAAACCCGTCTGATCAGGTAATTGCTGATGTTTCAAGAAACAAATGGTGCCTGCAGTTGGACCACTGAAATGACCCTGAATGCAATGAGGTCATGAAAGGGTAAGTGGGGGCTTTAGTACTTAAACACCTTTCAGACATAATTCTGGTTGTAAAACACCTTTCTCTCGAAGTATCCGAGATTGAAATATTTCCCTCAGTGTATTTTTCTAATGCAGTGTATTCAGAAATGCCACGGTTACTTACAGTGGATATGTTTCACGGCCCAGAAAACCTGGACCTGTGAAAACCCTCAGAAGTTGAGTACATTTTCCTGTTTCATGGAGGCAAGAATAAAAAGATAGGATTATATGGGTTTGTTTTCTTTTTTTTTTTATGTAGCTTGATCTCCTTTTGTCCTCTTTCCCTCTTTTAAAACAAATTGATGTGGGAATTCACTTTGTATGCAATACTTGAAATGCCTAATCATAGAATCATAGAACCACAGAATGGTTAGTGTTGGAAACGACCCCAAGATCAGCTGGTTCCAACCCCCTTACTATGGGCAGGGATGCCTCACACTAAACCATGTCACCCATGACTCTGCCCAACTTGGCCTTGAGCACTGCCAGGGATGGGGCATTTACCACTTCTTTGGGCAACTTGTTCCAGTGCCTCACCGCCCTCACGGTAAAGAACTTCTTCCTTACATCTAACCTGAACTTCCCCTGCTTCATTTTAAACCCATTACCCCTATTGCTAGTTCCTGATGAAGAGCTCCTCCCAGCATCCCTATAGGCCCCCTTCAGATACTGGAAGGCTGCTATGAGGTCTCCACGCAGCCTTCTTTTCTCCAGGCTGAACAGCCCCAACTTTCTCAGCCTTTCTTCATATGGGAGGTGCTCCAGTCCCCTGATCAATCTCGTGGCCCTTCTCTGGACTTGTTCCAACAGTTCCATGTCCTTTTTATGTTGAGGACACCAGAACTGCACACAATACTCCAGGTGACGTCTCACAAGAGCAGAGTGGAGGGGCAGGATCACCTCCTTCGACCTGCTGGTCACACTCCTTTTGGTGCAGCCCAGGATACGGTTGGCTTTCTGGGCTGCAGCACACACTGAAGCTGGCTCATGTTCATTTTCTCATCAACCAACACCCCCAAGTCCTTCTCCGCAGGGCTGCTTTGAATCACTTCTCCGCCCAACATGTAGCTAGTGCATGCTAATTTGTTGGTTTTGAACAGGAGAGGAAGACATACAGCACAAAATCTGTAAAATACACTTAATAATAAGAAAATAAACTAAATATAATATGATGCCTCCCCAGGTCATCAAGTTTTTTGACGGTTTTTTGGAGAATGAGGAGCATGACAGAGCTC